AACAAACATACAGTGTTGCCAGCATTTGTGTCAACATTACTGCCAACTTTCTTGCAGGTGTACACGTCTGTGATAAAAGCCAAAAAGTTTTTTTCTAGTTACAGTCTTAATAAATCATAATTTTGATAATCACATGTACAATTGAAAATGTTTTCAGAAATACTGGGCTTGAAGTCTTGCATGCGGAGAAGGTGTTGCAGTGCCTAATGGGCCCCTTCCGTCTTCCTTCTAAAGTCTGTAAAATTTTCGTGTGGCACGGACGTAACTCTATTACCATCGAAGTCCTTATAGTGGAGTTTTACGTTGATTGACTTCAACAAAATTCAGCTGTGGCCATGTGATAGGGGTATTAAACCCAGAAAAACCTGCCTGTCTACCTGCCTTCATGTCTGTCTGCACACGATCTGTCTGCACACGATTCGACCACCCGGCCAAAATTTAAGCACTTACTCAACGTCTAGCCATTTTTAACTGGTGGCTGCGTTAAAACTTGTAAACACTGTCGATCAAAACGCAAGTAATACGCATACCTTAGGCGCAACATCAATAGGTGTGTATTTAGTAGTGTGTTCCTTTACTAGAAAATGTAGAGATACATAATCATGAAGATCTTCGTGTTTCCTAGGCGGCGCTGAAAATGTGACGCTATGCACGAAAAATCCATCTGCCTTCGCGCTTCACTGCCAACGATATGGTGCTGCCACCTGACAATGCCACTGGGTTCTGCACAAGCTCACGTTTCCCGACACCGCTACCAGATTCCGTCCATATCTGACGCAGCACCTCCTCCATTTTATCAGTGCCAGTCATATGCGGCCGATTCAACATATATACATGAAGCGCTGTGTGAGGCAAGGCAAGACATAAATGGCCGCTTGATGAAATACAACCCACTCTAGAAGGCGTGCCCCGGGACCCATGTAGTACGGGCGGCAGACTTCATGCTGATCACCAGATTAACGACTGCGAACTTGGCCTGTCAGTGAGACTGGAGTCTTCGATGTATTGATTTAAGATGTGATCATGATAACGTTGCAGCAGTGTAACAGTACTAGGTGGAGACCTTCTCACAAGACTAAGAACAACACAAAGTTTAGCTAGTTTGTAGAGATTAATCATGAACGAAGGCAAGAAGTGCGCATCAAGACTCGAGAGGAGAAAACCAGACCGCACCAACACCGGTGTTATCTTGTTCTCCTAGCGGTGTCTGCGTATTCACTCTCCCCATTCTTTCAAGATGAATTATTGCACCATGTTGCCGTATAAAGTAAAGAACATGAAATGGTAGGAATATTTCCAGAACCACCCACACGAGTTGTTTCGAGACATTTGCCCCAATGCATACATTGATTGGACGGAATGGAGCCGGGTATGAGTGTAGACGCAGTTCTAGTTCGGTGTATTGTCGATTACGCGAAAATGTTTCTCTCATTCATTGGGCTTTACCCCAAAGTTCCTGTAGCTCGCTTAGTGAAATACGCAGCTGTGTCTCTCATTTTATAGGTCAAACTGCGATCTATAGACTGATAATTCATGGCGACCATTTAAAAAAAGGTTCTGTTCTGTTCTGTTCTGTTCTAATTGGCTTGCCATGAAGCGATTGATATGTAACCTTTGCATCTTTATAAGGACCAGACGTGTGCTTTGTTGTTTTGTTGTTGTGTTTTGTGTTTGTTGTTTGTGTTTTGTTGTTTCCAGAAACTTCTTACAATGACTTTCAAACATTTACTTACCATTGTGATATGTACGTATAAGTGTGTCTTTGCATATCTGTGCCTGAGTTTTCTATTTTCCATGCACTGCTTTGTATGTTTTGCTTCAAGATACGTGTTCAAGTTTCAATTAACGGCTAAGGAGTAGCCGGCGCCATAATGGTGCGCCAACATCTCCTTATATATCATATCAATAAAAAAAAAGATATGTAACCTCGGCTAGTCCATTTCTACCGGTTCTGTGAAGCAGCTTTAATTCATCGGCGTTTCGACAACCGACTATGAAACTTTGGTCAAGGAATCTCTAAGCATCAAACTGAAGTGAGAAGGGTAGAGTCACGAGCAAACGTTTGAAGACCATGGCACAGCAAAGAGTTTTTTTTTTTTGTGGTTTCTTCTATTGCTTCTTCAGAGCGTACAATCTCTTGAATGTACTGCACATGTTAAGCGTGCACCTTCAAACTGCACGGCACTATTTCAACCGACATACAAAGCTCTTTCCTATAGAAACGTCACCCACGTTCTCATATGCGGAAAACGGGAAAACACTTAGGGTGCTACACGCTCACAACTACACGGGATGGGCGTTAAGCATTTGCCTTCTGAGCTCAAGCACCAGCTTCGCCCAGTGTACCCCAGCAGCATAGCTAGAAATGGTACACCGGGCCTACGCCCCATCCGAATTTTTAGGGGGCGAAGCACCTGAAGCCGTGGGTCTGTCCATCCCTTGTTTGTACGTGACCGCCTATAGTTGCACCATTGCAAACTGCCCACTACTTTCCTCCTTGCCAACATTCCACTGCGCCCTCATACCGATCCACGACTTCACCGACAGTAAAGTCGTTAAAATGAAAGGGGAACGGGAGCGACGTATAGCAACCGCTTACGAATAATAAAACTTCTTGTATGAATATATACCGTGCCTGTGACGTCTTCGATGATGTAGTTGGCGATATTCGCAGGTGGTTCATGGCTTAGTGACGAAACCATCCAGCGTTTTCACCCTACTCATCATCATTCACTCCGTAGATATGCTATGATCTTTGACTCCCATTAGATACAAAACACAACATTTTCTAAACAAATATACGACTATAAGCCAAACAGCTTTCCATACGATTGCCTCCACCCTCATAACTACCGTATTTGTCTGGGAAACAAGGATATGATGAAACGTTTTCCTAACTACTGCGTTAATTTCTGGCTTGATTTCAACCAAGACCAGAAATGAGAATAGAAATAATACTCAACATATACGGCAAACAAGAATTTAGATACTGCAAGCTCACGCAAAGAAACTGCCCTTATTTCTCTTGGCACCGGACATTCCGTAGATGCACCTCTCGGTGGTCATCCATTACCTTCTCTCTTCTGTAAAGCGTTGCATGCTGCATTTACTACGTGTCTCGACTGCGATATTAACGCCGTACTTTCCTCGGACATCTCAGAATACGCCCCAAGGATGATGTTGAGGCCTATGGCTGGTTGGTTGTTTTCTCTCTATGCGAGCCTTGAACCCCGCCTTTCTGCTCCGAAAGCGACGAAGCGGGAAAGGAAGAAAAATGGCGCCGACTACAGATGTCCCAGTCGCTAATGGATGGAACCGTCAGAGTATACCATGCAGAGATGTACACCAACTCTAGGGACATGGTGGATGGTCTTTCGTCTGCTGCATTTCGTAAATGCCCTAGTAATGCAATCACAACCACTGTTTTTTTTTTTATCCCAGCGCGTTAATCAGACAGCAGAGAGTGGGGTCGAGTGCAGTGCACCAGAACCCTTGTCTTTTTGTTCGCGTTTCTTTTCGAGTAATGGAAGCTACCTCATCGTGATAAAAAGCGCTGTCTGTGCAAAACGAGCGAAACTTCTAACGTTAAAGAGCTCGTTTCGCAGGAATTCTGGTGTCGATGTCAGCGTCGTTGGTTGTGAGCAAAAAATCATCACCAACAAAATAAGGTTGTTCGGGTCTGAGTGGGGATCGAACCCGGGTCTTTTGCGTGGCAAGCGGATGTTCCACCACACGGCCACGCCTCCTTTTTTTTTTTAATTACACGGCCAAGCCTCTGCTCGTGAAATCAGCCAAAAGAACTTTCCTGCTTGGGAATGCAGTTAAAGTAGCTTTTACGCTTCACAAACACACGCGTCCTCTGTGTATACATGCTTCACAGTACAACATGAAATATTCCAGTAATAATGCGTGGTACTCGAAAAGGTTTGATGCATTAAGTTTTTGAATGCGTTCAGCTCCTAAGGACAAAGCTCTAGGGTCCGCATTTTTTTCGTTTATGCGAGAATATTTAGTCTCTTCGCACGCAAACCACGACAGTAACGCGGCATAGCGATAAAGGAGGCGTGCTTTATGACAGCTTCACGTGCCACATCATAGCAGAAGCCTTATTGCGAAAGTCTGCGGCTACTTCGAGGGTTCGAACGTTTTGTACCATCTGTTTTCTGTACCAACATTCTGAGCATACACGGTTTCGATACTGTGGTGTTAAGGCACACAGCTGGGCCCTTAAGGAGGATGCGTTCCATGAAGTAGAAACTGGAGGCATCATGACTTCAAACACGCTGTGCGGCCGCAAAATCACAAGGCAATCTTCTCTCCGACATTTCGTATTCTTACCGCAATGTAAAAAAAAACAAAAAAAACTGACCACTCACGAATTGTTTACTTTGGAGGGAAGAAAAACGGCCTCAGATAAACAAAGGACGTCGTCAATTCTGGCGTTATCATTTGCAATTCGTCGATTGTATTCCCCTTGATAACGTTTTCGAAACATCCTTCAGTGAAAGCAATTTCACGTTAGCATTTGCAGCTACTGCGTACGCGATATATGCTACCCTCTTGGATATGCAGTTTACTTTACGAAAGAGGCTCTCCCACTCTCTCTATAACCTTTATACTCTCCTTTCTCATTCCGCCAGCGTAGGGTAGTCAACCAGGCATGTGCCTCCCTACTTTCTGTCTCACTTTACTTCCTTCCTTTCAAAAATAGCCCATTTGTCACAGAAACGCACAGTCTACTTACCATAATCTAAAATCACTGGCTTATATTTTCAGCCATATCGTACCCGTACGTAGGCGCTCCATCTTTCAAACTCCCTCATCCATGTCTGCTCATACCGGTTCTTCTAGACTGGTTAGGATCCCTGCCTTTCCTTTCTGTTCTTTCCTTATACAATCGTACATACTCAAGTTTTTGTCTTTTCTCTTTTGAATATTGTTAAATGGTGCGATTCATTCATTTCATTCTAATGTGTGGCTCTATTATTCTTTCTTTCCAGCAGTCATGTTGTTCACCCAACACCTATTTATTATCATTGCCGTGGGCGTTGCCCTCATCACATGCTGCCAGTCGTCTACTACTGCTGAAACGGAAGAGAGTAAGTGACGTTCAATCAATGAACTTCTGACTGGCAACACTAGCAGCTTAAGTGTTTGCTTGGGCGGCTAGGTACGACATACTTGTGAGATTCCGAATTGACGTAAGGGCTCATCCAAACATAAAAACGTTACGATCATTTATTCAACTACACTAGCAGCATTGGCAGAGCATTCTGGCGCTATGCTCAACAGAGGTAGTGAAACAAAGCGATGCGCTTCTAAGCTTGGCAGCCGGGTTTCGTAGCCATTAGCCACGTAACGGAGGACGCGTTCCATTCAGCTACTTATGAGGCAATTCATAAGCGTAACTGGGCAAGTACAAGTTGAGGAGTACATCACATACTTCCATCAGTAGAGATATAAACGTGGAGATATTGTTGTCTTTCTATTCCCTTTTGTTTTCATCAGTAGACTCACTATCAATTCGCAATTTAACCACGTAGATCAGGCGTGAGTGACCTGTGGCCCGCAGGGCTTTATTCTGCGGTCTCCAGCCAGACGTTAACCTCCCTCTCGCCTTTCCCCATTACCTTCATTTTGAAGGCTGGCATGAAATTCTTGACTTAAAATGGAATTTTCATTGACGGACACAAGTTGGCACAAAAAAAAAGAACTGGAGCACACTGAGCCTCACTCAAGGAATATGTTCTGTTATGAAAGTTCACTTGTAGGCTGACTCATAAAAACTTTTCTCAACCAGGAGCACTTGGACTCAGACTAAGTGTTTCTTCATCCTAGCTCACGCGGACTCAAGTCCACCAAATTATTTCTCACAAAACTCCGACTCAGACTCAGACACACGGCCCGATCTGAGTCCGAGCGAGTCGGTTGATGAGCGAGTTTGCCGACCTATTCTTGCAACCTGCGTTTGAGTGCAAGTTTGTGGCTTACGAGACGAAAACTAACATAATTTCTAACCCGGATTTGCACATTATTGCCAAATTTTATGTTTGGCCTGCAATGTGCTCCCCCCTTTCTTTCGGTGTGCCATCCGGTTCCCTTGTCTGTGCTGACGTCACTGAACTTGGCCCTACGCCACAAAAGATTGCCGACGCCTGGCTTAGGTGATTGCGGATGAAGACGATAAAGGCCTTGCTGAATTTCATGAATTAAACAGACTTGCACCAGCGGTTATAAAGCAACATTATTAGTGTGACTGTGAAGAGTGTGAATTTGTGTGTGCTCCCCCTTTCCTTTTAGCTCTAACTTTCAGACTCTGTTTTCTCTCTTCCCATTGTAGGGTAGCATACCAGTTTTTCTAATCTGGTTAGCATCCCTGCCTTTCCTCTCTATCTTGTTTCTTCCCTCTTCAACCACGACCATTTACGAAGGTACCTTGTCTCTTTCACCACTGCAGGCTTACGGAAAGCACAGAAAAATGAAAGGCAACCAGCTTCCAGAGTAGAGCGCTCAGCGGATCCCTACAGCGACGACGAACCTCCACCGGCCGCCACCGAGCCGAGGAAGAACAGTGAGTTAAAATCACGGGTCAAGCGCACGCGCGTATTACCCTATCGGTTGGTGCGACAGGCGTCACCCGCCATTCCCGTCGGATTCCCCCAGTACCAGACTCAAACGGGTACCTACCAGCAGTCCTGGTACACGGACTCATCGGGAAGGGTCATTACTAGCCATCAAGTGACCGATCGTCGACTTCAACCATCGGGACCAGCGATCTCATGGGTCTCCGGAAGCCCCCTGCCTCCGGGAGCTCCGGTTCCACCGGGTTTACACGAAGCGATAATGAAGCTTCTAGCTGGCGCAGTGCAGCCAGTGAACCCGACGGCACCCGGACCCCAAGTAATCCCGGTCGGAGGCAATGGACGAGTGGGCCAGCCAGGAGCGCCCACACAGCAGCCGTACGGAGTGGTTGGCGGTGCTCACTCCATCATTCCGGGGGTCCTTGGGATCTCCGACGGTGTGGCTACCGTACAAGACGAGGCCGAACAGGAGATCAACAGGCCGGAAAGATCCCAAAAACCCGGCCAGGGTGCGCAGGACGTGAGGCCTGGTGCACAACCGAAGCTTGTGCTTTCGTTCAAGAAGGGACTGCACCCTGAGGAGGAAGACGAAGAAGATGTGAAGGATGAGAAGGAGGAAAGTAGGTGCACTGCGAGAAGAATTTTTTCTCGACCAGCTTCTCATTCGCTACGGCTGCTGTGTGGGCGCCTCGGCCTTGTGTTTGTGTCGGTTGTGGGCTTCTCGTGACGCTTTCCCTTTCTGCTTCTAGGCACTTCAGCTTTCGCTTTGTGGTCATGTTGGTAGTATAGCATGGAGTGGTTGTAGTAACATTGTCAGAGAATCACTTGGCTTTGATCACTAAAAGCGCCCTGCAACACTTTTTGAGCATGGACAGAAGACGCTACTGATCAGGCAGCCAGCCGAGGCTACTGTGAACACGCGAGCTAAAATATTATAGCGCAGTACACGGCCTGACAGTTACAGTAAACTCTCAAGGTCAGCTAAAAATTGCTTTCGCTTGTCTCAACAATTGACGCTATATGCTCTAAAATTATTGCGCCACAGCTCCAAGTGTTACATCACTGGCTTGATTGAGCATGGCGTGCTCGGGAGTTACTAGGGCCACCACGTAAGTCTCCCACGTGTACCGCGCGTACGCGCGCGATCGCACTGAAGAGCCGCACAATCGAAAAAAAAAGAGAGAGAGAGAAGTGCTAAAGGTCACACGTGTGCGTGACGCACTTCCATCCTGATCTCATTCTTTCCTGCTTAGCTTCCAGTGCTTTCGCCGGGACGAGGGAATCGAGAAAGCAATTGTATCGTGCGACAAAGCTTGATGGCCCCGCTTGCACTGGAAGGATTCTAAAAAAACAAAAAAATGCGGTGGTCCATTAGTGAGGCAACAAGATGCTTTACTGAATCCATTCCGTGGCTAATGGAAAGAGTGTTGCAGGGCCCCTTCGAACAGTGCATGTATATCGCTGGGCGAGGTGCTCAAACAAGATCTGACATATATATGCATGCCTTTCTTTTGGAATTATTATGTGAATTCCGACGAATTAGATTAAACTGCCAAACCTCGTTTCCATGAGCAGTAAGGAATCAATTATTCTTTTGTAGAAATGGTAACCAATTGTAGTAAGCGGCTTGGTTGAAGTATGCCTAATGGGAATCTAAGCGGGTGATAACACGATGTCATTAACAATGCAATAATTAAAGAAACATGTAGTGGGTTTTGGCTACATCCTTCACGCCATTAAATTCGGAATGCGTCGAGCTTTGTACCACCATACTGTCTTGATTTCTGATTCTGTTTTACATTGCTCTGCTTCATGTGCGACATGATACAATAGGAGCTGTCAAGAAGTGAGAAGAGGGCGCAGTGCGTTCCAAAAGAGAGAGCGAGGAATCGCTCCCCGAACTGTCAGCCAGGACACCACGGTCTGACACTGGTGCTCTCGCGTTCGCATGCGACTCCTTTGCAACTCGTGCCCACCAGCGGTAGTCAAATGGATTCCTTTTGAAGTCATGCTTGAACTGGCCGGCTGAAACACTTTTTGAGTGCACGCCTATAGCAATCATTCGGGTGGTAGTGGTGACGGTAACGCTGGTGCCATGTCTGTTTAGAATTATTACTCCATGACCAGCCGCAACGTGATGATATTTTCTTTTTGTCATTGAAACCAGGGTTACCCAGAATGCCGCCATGGCAAGGTGGAGGCGTCATTCCTCCTGGCCACGGTGGGGTCCCACCTGGCCACGCAAAAAGGGGACATGGTAAAGGAAGAAAAGGAGGAGGTGGGCCCCACGGTGGGCCCCATGGTGGTCCTCACGGTGGACCTCATGGTGGACCTCACGGCGGTCCTCCCGGTGGACCTCATGGTGGTCCTCATGGTCGTCCTCATGGTGGTCCGCACGGTGGTCCTCCTGGAGGTGAGGATTGGGACTACTATGACGCCCACGAAGGTCGTGGAGGACGTGGTCCTCCACGTGGTGGTTATCCCGACCCAGGTCCTGGAGACTACGGTCCTGAAGGCCGCCCACCACCGCCGAAACCTCACCACAGGCCACCTCCCGAAGAAAGACCACCACAACGGCCTCCGCCACCAGAAGATCAGTACCAAAATCCACCACCGCAACAGCGGCCGCCGCCGGTACAGAGGCCCCCGCCGCCTCTTCCGTACGACCCGAACGAACCAGAGGAACAACCCGAGGACGTTTCCGCAGGCGGAGGATCATCGCAGAGCCCAAACTTACGAGATTTGCAGCCACGTGAGTATAATTAGAGTTCTAGCTGAAAGGGCGTCACAAAAGTGCGAAAACATTCTATGCGAGAAACGTTCTAGAGTTTTCGCTAAACACCTGCAATTAGTCTAAATGCACAGATGCGTGCCATCTGAACTGTTGCGGTCGTTATTAAAGGAAGTCACACACTCAATTTCGACAGTTATTGAGACTGAAGGTCACTAAACCTCGTGTAACTATTGGGCTTCTTTTCAGTGTTTTTGCAAAGATCACCCACACGTCAGTAGTTAGAGTGCTTGAATTGTAGAAACCTTTCGGTGACCTATATAGCTAGACAATTTTAGTATATTATAGATACGGGTAACATCAATAGCAGTTCAACATACATTGCTTGCTAGGCATGTGTTTACGAGAATCACAAGACTTCAGTTACATGGACATAAAGAAGACGCAAAATGACGAGGAGAAAACACGCACAATTGATGTTTCACGAACGTACGTACATACAAATAATAATACCACAAAAAGATACGTGTACATACGCAGACTACAATGTAAAACACAAGTCACAAATAAGATGCCTCGCAAAGATGCACACCTACAAATAATTTGTCGCAATACACCAGCCGTACGTATTCACATTTAATGATAAACAGAAACCACAAATAAGGCTTAAAAATCTACACACTGCTCATTAACATGATTCTTCTGCCGATGTCATGTGGGCCGATAGCCACCGAGACATCAGCCTACCTAAACCAGGCCTGTCGAAAGAGAAGCTTCGCGCACCTGCGACTACAAACGTTCGGAACATTCAGTTAGGCATACATAACGAGCAGCACGGTTGCTGCAGAGAAGCACGGCTGCTGCCGAGAAGTGCGCATGCACAGTGCGTGACATCTATTCCCTGCATACGCGCAAGCGCCCGTGACACTGCAATGCGTACGTAATGCAATTCCGTCTACGTGTCGTTCTTGCGATATTTCGAACCCACCAGAAATGAGAGCGCATGGTGGATGGTGGCTGCAGTGGCGTTCGATGCAGGCGAAAACAGTGAACCTGCAGGGTGCAAGTCTTTTATCTTCCATACTTAAATTCCATATTCCCTTGTAGACAAGTGGTAGCCAGAGCGGTATAACCAAGTGGCACGTTCTAGCGCCCTGACGAGTGGGAAGACATAGTCTGGTGTCTCAGAAAAAAATCACAACTGCCAATGGACGACACCATTATACATCGCATACGACTTATCTAGATGTGGAAAACGCATACCGGTAAATTAAAAATGGAAGATATTGATTGATATGTGGAGTTTAACGTCCCGAAACAACCATGTGATTATGGGAGACGCCGTAGTGGAGAGCTCCGGAAACTTCAACCACCTAGGGTTATTTAACGTGCACCCAAATCAGAGAACACGGGCCTACAGCATTTGCGCCTCCATCGAATTAAAATGGAAGGACACTTTGTAAATCCCAAAGTGCGTTCTACGAACGCCTGTGCTCATTGAGACGGGGTCGGTCACAGTGGAACGATGCAAGCAAAGCGCGGGCGCTGTAGAGTCCAATGCGAGGCGTGACCGGCGTCCGTTACTACGCTCCGGTGTCTACCTGGCACCGTGGCAGGGCACGGACGGACGAGCCAACTGACGTGAGCATGATTAGATGAGACAATCAAGGCTTTCGTCTAAAATTCCCGCATATCCACAAAGTGAATGATGATGAAGCAGCTTGCTCCAGAGGTTAAATCTGGTAAACCATTAATCCTCTGTACATATTTTCAATCATCATCCTATGAAGATGTGATACGAGAGTTGTGGTGTGATTGTATATACACCTTATATACACACTTTCTTTATTATTTACATACCAACGTACTATATCCCTTGCCGACCCAGCAACTAGTGCACTGGGCAGGGCGAAAATGTCATGTACAGCTCGCTTTATCTTTCGCGTACTTGTCAATGGCCTGTAAGCCAGAAAAGGGCAATAAAAATTCTTGCTCTGCCTTAAAAAAGTTCGGGTTAGAAAGGGGTATATAATTATTTACATACTAATGCAGTATAACATTCTGTTCAAGAACTTAATTATGGGTTACATAAGCTCGGATGAACGTTTTTTTTTTTAGTATGATGGCTTCGTGATCCGTAAAGTACAAGCCAGAAGATCTTGAACCATAGGATGTAGCAGAAAGTTCGAGTTGATTCCTGACGGCGAGCCCACGCTGCTGCCGCATCGCGAACCCTCCGCGCTTCCACCTCGGCTTCTGCGGTGTTCATTGTGGGCAGCGGCATCATCGCAGACTGAGTGTTGTCCGGCGAAAGAAAAAGGAAGCGTGCCGAGAGCGATCGCAATTAGATTTGCTGTATATGCTACCTATAGGTAGCAGAGTTGTGCCAATGTGCGCCATCTTGGCTTCAAAAGTTTTGTGGGAAAGCCACTCACCACCCGCGTAGGAGCAGCCCACGCGCTTCACAGTACTAGCGTTGCTTTATTAATTTTTTCGCTTTCATTTAGGGGCGAAACTTCTTATAACCGCACCCATTCGTCCCTCGTAGCCGTTATAGTATGTAATGAGTATAACATTTTGACCTCCAAGGTGATGCCGGTGAGAGATTTCTTCTGTGCGTTGTTGAACAATATAAAATAGTGCTCAATGCACATGCCAATGGCTGCTAATGGGGAATGAGAGACAGGAGCATTCGGCTTTTAGTTAACGCGCACGCTGCGATCCCCATACGCAGCCATTGGCATGTATATTGAGCACTATCTGACAAGAAAGGGTTGCTACATTATACTCGCTGTGTGTAACCTCTTTAGTTTTAGAAAGGTTTAGCGAGAGCGTTGAGCCGCAGTGCCATGAATACAATGAACTAGTATATACCATGAATGAACTTGAGGTGGTTAAAGGTGTGAAGTAGGTGTGAAGCGCTGGCCGTAAGAAAGTAAAAGCCGAATTCTTTTGTCTCTCATTTCCCATTAGTAGCCATTGGCATGTACATTGAGCATACGAAGCGCAAGCCGTAAGAAGTAAAAGCCGAACTCTTTTGTCTCTCATTTCCCATTAGTAGCCATTGGAATGTACATTGAGCACTATCTGACAGCAAAAGGTTGCTACGTTATACTCGCTGGGCGTAACCTTGTTCGTTTTAGAAAGGTTTAGCGAGCGTTGGGCACAGCGCCATCAATACAGTGAACTAGTATATGCCATGAACTCGAAGTGGTTTAAGGTGGGAAGTAGACCCGAAGCGCAAGCCGTAGGAAAGTGTGCGTGTGCCACCTCTCGTTTAGGCCTTGGAATGTTTGCTGAATGGCGGTGCTTCTACATGGGGAATATATGATGAAAAGATGCGCGATGGTGGTACTTGGAGTGTTGAATAGATGGACGAACGAACACACAGACAGATGCATGGATGGACGCATGAACGGACGCATGGGGGATGCATGGACGAACGCAGGGACGGACGCATGAACAGACGCATGTACGGACGGGCGGATGGGCGCATGAACGGTCACACAGACGGACGCATGGATGGTCACACAGACAGACGCCTGGACGGACGGAAGCAAGAACGAATGGACGGACGAATGCTTCGCCCCACTCTCCATCATTCACTCCGTGGATATGCTGCCATTTTTTTACTTTTTATGAAAGCACGGGCAAAACTTGGTTGCTCCGATCAGGCCTAGAAGCCTGCGACCCTAGATGCACCGGCCTTTTACACGCGCCGAGACGCCGAAGGAGGAGGGAGCAGCACCTCTATTGAGACGCGTCCAGCGTCTCTGTTGGACGCGCCCAGTGTCCGTGACGGAGTAGTAGTAGTAGTAAATGTTTATTTTGAAAAAAAAAACAAAGATTGCCAGGAAGACCAGCCTCTAGTGGGTCAGCCTCCCTGCGGTACTAGGTGGAGTCCCTAGTCAGGGACCCCATTGGTCCTGGCCTCTGTCCTGGCACGCTGGACCAGGGCTCGTTGGACCACAAGGTCCTGGCAACCAAGCAGGGCCGCCTTCCAGTCCTCTCTTGTTTGATTTAGGTTCGGGGGTAAAGAAGAATTGAGCTGGCATGCCCATACCATGTGGTAGGCGTCAGGCGCACTCGGTGTCTGTGCGAAGGGCGACAGCACGCTAATAACTCTGCGAAGCATCGGCATCGTCTGTGTAGTGTTGGCTTCTGCGCAGTGCATTTGAACCACCTATGACCACATGATGGCGCGCGACCAATGGCGTTGGTGTAATCGTCAAAAGCAGGGTGAGCGGCGCTCCGAAAACAGTGGCGTAACTCTATACTACCTAAATGTAGCATATACAGTAACTCTAGAGCGCTATATATAGGCGCTGCCCTTAGAGGTCTCCTAACAAACTAGAACAAGGGCGAGAGTGGCCCCGAGAGCACGCACTTAAGAACACAGCTGCACCTCTAGCGGTAGCGATGAACATTAGCTTACACACTGATGCAACAACGAGAGACAACCCCCCAGCAAAAAGAGCAAGCCCCCGAGTTTGTTGCAGCACGCTTCGCTTGCAGCGCACCACATCTGCGTACGCAAAGCTATTCGCGGTGTGTTTAGAAGAAGTGGTCAACGTCTAAGAGTACTCGGTACTCTACTATGGGAGAGCTGAAAGCCGTCCTTTGGGCCTCACACTTGATGAGGCCACGTCGACAAAAATTACGCCAAAGGCTACAATTTCTATGAGGCATGTGTTCAGGACAAATGTTCGCCAAATGTTTGAAAATAGTTGTTAACGATTTAGAGTACCTGGTACTATACTATGGGAGAGCATAGAGCCGTCCCGTGTGGAGACGCATACGTGCAGAACTCAACATATGATGTGTTTAGAAAAAATTATTCACACGAACAACGTAATAACACTCTCCCACCGTATATGAAGCCAATAACTTGATTGCACGCCCTGCTTAGCCAATCGGCCAAAGCCTCCCTGCTCAATCAACTTATATTGCAAAGTTTTGCCACCTATTCGAATAGTTTTATTCATAACAGTTCGATTAAAAGTACTGCAAAATACAAATCAACTTTGCATTTAATTCTTTAACTAAAAGACTGCGAGCAGGGGCGTAAGAAGAAATATTTTGGGGGAGGAAGGTGGCACCCCTTTCATCTGAAATGGGGACCGGGCAAGCAGATGTGGTCGGGCGTCAAAGTGGGGGTAGCATATGTTATCGGAAAAAAATTTACATGGTATCCACGGAGTGAATGACGATGAGTGGGGCGAAGCTTCCTTCCATCTGTCTATGCGTCCATTATTCCGTGCGTCTAGACTGACAGCCAGAGGCACAGACGGACGGACGGGCTCACGCAAAGAACGTACGGGCGCACAAATGGACGGAAGCATGGACGCACGGGCGAACGGATGGATGGACGAACAGGCTAACGAAAGAACGCACAGACAGTTGGACACACGTACGGACGGAAAGACGCTTCCCCCCACTCAATATCATTCACTCCGTGAAGATAGTCTGAAAACCACTAACGCTATCTAGTTATATTATTCTCAAGCACGTATAGACACAACACCACATATTGCGCAAGTCAGGTGGCTACACACTACATACAGAGAAGGGAATGATCCACGGCCTAAGGAGCTTCACCCCTGAAATTTTGGAGGAGGAGTGTCACAGACCCCATGTGGGAACGAACCCCTCCCTAGCTACCCCAGCGACTACGACCTAATGAAAATGTCTTCAATATTTGCGTTTAGGTGTCTGCTTCGTATTTCCACCATGCAAATTAAAAGAAGCAGTTAATACCATAGCTACTACCACTAGTGGTGCGAATACAGACAAACATGTGGAGCTGGTGGCGAGTGCCCCTCCTTTCCTTGTTACTCACCTTCCCTTCCCTTCCCCGCACGTTGACGAGCTGTTATGGATAGCTATCCTATGCTTCGCAATCTCTCTACTTTCTCCTTACTCCTTAGTTCCCTTTCCCCCTCCTCGCCATGCTGTACTATACGCCGCTGCGATATATGCTTTCTTTCTCTCTCTCGCTCTTTCTTTCTTTCTTTGATTTTCTCTTTCTTTATCATTTTCCTGTTTTGCTCTCATTCTTTTGTATTTTTGTGTATTTTTTCTTTTCCTGGTCTGTTGTTATCTTGCTTTTTCTCTGTCTAAGTTCGTTATCTTACCCATCCGAATTATTGCATTCTCCACCAGTAAAATCAGCGCATGTGCGCGCGCTGGTTGTATTTTTCGCGCTACCGAAATGAATGACAGGGATCACAAACTAGCCCTTACACTTTTGACAGCGCACGTGTTCTCAGATAAGGATATTAGAAAGAGGTCAACAAGCGAGTGCACGCAACGCACCAGAAGGAGACTGATTACGATGATGACAGTTTTTGTTCCCCATGCACAGCTTAACCTTGAGTTGAAACAGCTACTCGGCGCACGCGTGGCTAGGAGAACGGCGCGGAGTTTATTCAGCGGACGGCGGACATTTTGCCACGCGCTTCTAAGAGTGCCGCTCTAAAAGCGCCTGGCCTGCGCGGAAGAGTCATGTCAGGCCTGTGCAAAACACGCAGCCCAGTCACAGCGACAACTGGAAGAGTGGTCTTTCTAATGCCGTAGTAGACTTTCTTGGGGCAACTAGCACAAGTACACATCAAAGGTAGGTCATGAATCATCGCAGTTTTCGAAAAGTATAGGAAAAGACCCACTACGCCTTTTTTCATCATTCTGCAGAAAGCCACGGTACACATCAGTGAGGAATAGTGTGCAGTTTTTGCTGTGGCTGATGATGATGGAGAATCATTGATTAAGTGACTGATTGATTGACAAATTGATATGTCAGCTTTAACGTCCAAACAACACCATGTAATTAAGAGAGACGCCGTAGTGGAGGGCTCCGGAAATTTCGACCACCTGGGGTTCTTTAACATGCACCCAAATCTCAGCGCCCAAGCCTACAGCATTTTCGCCTCCATCGAAAATGCAGCCAACGCAGCCGGGATTTAATCCCGTGACCTTCGGGTCAGCAGCCGAGTACCTTAGCCACTAGAGCACCGAGGCGGAACGATGGAGAGTTATGACAGAGCCCGTTCTAACGACTTGAAAGCAATCAACGCCAGACACATTGAGCTATTCGCGTTGTGTAACGCCCGGTTCCTATACTACTCCGGTTCCTATACCACAATATATACATTATTCCTTGAGCAAAATAGCACCTGTTTTTCTAGCACCCGCGCAGCTCTGTAGTAGAATCCTCGACTACCGCACAGAGGCGGTTTTATGCAATGAAATATAAGAGTGTTCTTTGATTTTTTCAAACAACGACGAATAATTGAGTTCGTAAGTCACCATACACGTTAATGTACAGGCGCGGCTGTATAAAGACATTCGCTCACATCTAAATGTCATCCTAACGTTCATACAGCCTCTTGTCTCAGCCTGTCGTCGTCCAGTGTCCAGCTCAGGCGCGAGGAAGTGAATCTCTAAAAGGCACAATAACTTTTATGCGTGCGGTTGTCTCACGTGGCAGTGAGTATTCGTTTCCTTCAATTGCCTTTTCTTCTCTACACACAGTGTGCGGAGTCCGGAGCCTCGCGTTTGCGGAAGACAAGACGAGCGACTACCAGACGGTGCCTTTCATCGTGGGCGGCAACGTGACGTCACACCGTAGCTGGCCATGGATGGTATGCGCGAGGAAGTGACCGGATCTGGCGGTGCAACCGTTTCGCCGAAACGCCACGGCCGCTTAGCGCTGCATCATAGGCTTGCGTTGCGTCTCGCTTGCTTCTTTCGCTTCGCTTTTCTTTTACGGCGCTGCGAAAGAAAATCTTGCGTAAGACGCTGTTTTCTCTTCTGTCACCTTTGTTTTCGTCTACACCGCCGGCGTTTTCCCGGGATGCCTTTTTGTCTCGCAGTTGCGCTCTTCCTTTCTTTGCAAGTTGTATACTTGTACGCACAACTTCTTCACGCTAGAGAATAGTTGTGCGGACACGTGCCTGTGATAATTAAACACCGTGCCTTTGTGGCTTTATTGCTTCTTTATGTGTGTATGAGTTGTATCATTGTGTATATCCAGTCATCACACGGCACGTGGAGTGCAAGTCAGGTGATAAATCAGGATAACATATCCAGCAATATTATCAAAGATTGCCATCTCTGTTTCCGTAAGAATCAAACGAAAGTTTGCGAAAGCGAGCTGAGTTATGAAATAAATTGCGAGGATGACATGTCTGATTAACAAATACCGTCGTCCTAATTATCCTCATCCCCATCGGCTTATTATGTATGACAGCTGGAATATGAAGGCGTTTTTTTTTCACATATTTCTGATTAAATCTCGTGCTGCTGTCGAGTCGGAGTCATCTTATGTCTCGTGACATTTCTAAGTTCATCGCCCCAAGTAATTATCTGCCACCGGCTGCTACGCTTCCCTTCCTTTTGTACATATGTTATTGTTTCGATTTAACAATGCTTAGCTAATCAACTAGTATTCCACAGTCGGCCCAACTCCACTGCTTCATCTCAGTCTCGACTACGTCATCTGCTACGCACCCGTGTTCCTTAACTTACGCATTCATCTTTCATTCTTCTAACGTTAGGCACACCATTTATCCCACAATACCACATGGCACTGCGCCGTTATATAATCTTGCAATTTTCTCTTGTTTTTATCTATAGCTCAGTAGAGGTGCTAGGTTTTCAGGGATGACGGCAGGTTGGTAGGATTTTTTACACACTTCAAAAACGTTTGATTCTTTATTAGATATCTTTCTTCAAAATCCATTTCTTCTGTAAAGACAAAATCTGTAAATGTATTCGCTCTCGCATAGCTTTTCTTTACCACACGTTCTTCCTCTATTTCCCAGATGTGAACAGCCCGTTTTTCTCCCGCACATATCTGTTTATTGTTACCTCCCAACTTTGCTCCTCAAGGCTTTCAAGTGTCTGTTGCATGTGATCACACTAGGGTTTCTAGACAGACAACTGCCACCTGCAAGTCGCAGGCTAGTCTAAAAGCTCCACGATCTTCATGTCAACTTCTTAAAGCCTTGACTGAATGCTTCCAAGTGCATGAGATGAACAATGGAAAGACGTTGCTTTCTTTTCATGAAGCCACATTAATATTCTAGTTTGTTTTCGCATCAATAAGCACAATCTAGGTAGATATTTGTGGTACGGTCACTTAAGCCTTCTCTACTTCTTGATTATGCAAAAATACATCTCGTACAAATGTACAGCATTTTTCATCTGCTAAATACCTAACAAAGGTTAGCGACACTGTGGATCACAAAGGTAGGGGCTTATAGCGTATAGACTTTCACAAGTGGTCGTCATTCAAAACAGGTATTTCGACACTGAAATGAAAACAAACGTCCCCGAAGTGTAAATGCGAGTGTGTCGTAAAAGTCCGTGCACTTCATCGCAATAAAGTGCACAGAATCATGTTAGCTGAAGCCCATACTGCACGATAATCATGAAGCGAAGAGCGAAAATTGTAATTGAAACGCTTGAAACTATACAGCGAATATTATCTACGGGGGATTTGACTATTTGAAGAATAGATCGTTCGGAACGATAAAATTACATTCATGTGTAAAGCATGTCTGTATGCGAGCAAAATATTATAAGTGACCTTATTATTGCTGTGCTTCTTTTGCTACAGGCAAAACTTGAAGTTCTGAATCCCGACGAAATAACATACAAATTCCTCTGTGGTGGCAGTCTCATCAGCGCCCGATACATGATCACCGCTGCGCATTGCTTCAGTCCCATACCAGAGTAAGTGTCTTGTTCATTCTATTGTTTTTCAGATAGCACATAAGTAGAATAGCTTGGCAACATATACTAACAGCTTCACTGGCACCAACATGTCTCGAAAACACTAGAATAGCTTGGCAACATATACTAACAGCTTCACCGGCACCAACATGCCTCGGAAAACAGGCGCAATATAACTAAACAAGCAAGATCGCAATACGTGTTTCGACAGCTATATGGAGACGATGCACGTTTTTTTTTCTGTGTTTACTTTATATGCCTTAATGAAATACCATCGTCTTCGTATAGCCCCGCCGCGGTGGTCTAGTGGCTAAGGTACTCGGCTGCTGACCCGCAGGTCGCGGGTTCGAATCCCGGCTGCGGCGGCTGCATTTCCGATGGAGGCGGAAATGTCGAGGCCCGTGTGCTCAGATTTGGGTGCACGTTAAAGAACCCCAGGTGGTCAAAATTTCCGGAGCCCTCCACTACGGCGTCTCTCATAATCATATGGTGGTTTTGGGACGTTAAACCCCACAAATCAATCATCGTCTTCGTATAAAGCAAAAAATTACGCTGCATGTAGCATGAAATGTTAACTGGATCCCTACATCTACATGATGTTGAAATTATATAACAAAAAGGGCACTGGTGCAAAAAAATGACCAATTGTTTAAATCAACTTCACTACAGGCTTTGATAGAAAATATTAACAGATACCACATCGACACTTTCGGAAGCAATTCTACGCCAAAGAAGTTTAACATGTATAAAATGAAAGGGGTATAAGCTGACTAATACTAACAGCCATTTTTGCAGGCCCTACTTCTAAGCCGCTCTTGGTGAACCGTGCGTCGAAAAGGTCGTGAACGGAAGCTATGTCGAACTGAGCACCTTAGAGATTGGCGTTATTTTGGAAAAGTTTATTGTGTAGCAGTAAGCTTTCCGTGGTCAGAAAATCTAATTGTTGTGTGCAGAAGCTGAAAACGTCTGCTTCTTATATTACAAAACATAAAATAAAAAATAAGAAATCATTATGTAATGCTTCCAAAGAGCCCATCGGCCTCCAAAGCAAGTAAGCACATAATTTTATGGGGGTCGGAATCGACGATAGGGAAAAGAGGATGGATGGTTATAAAACGATATCTTTTGTCTCTGGGTGTTACACTTCTGTCACAATGAACTCGAATAAAGAGAAGAGAAAGCTTTCGCCAGCCAAGAGAATTAGCACAACGGGGTTCGTGCACCGTTTCATTTTGGACCTGGAAGCACATCGCAAAATCACAAGAATGAAAAGTCGGGCGGCTTCTTTTTTTTTTTTTTTTCCTAACAAACGAAACGTTATCACACCGAACGCAGGCGCGCGCAGAACTACCGCGTGGTGTTCTTCTCCCCACGGCCGGGATTCACTCTGGAGCGCATCGTGGAGAAGATCATCATCCACGAGAAGTACAACAGCTACTCGCACTACTACGACATCGCGGCGGTACGCTTCAACCGCGACCTGCTGCGGCCCTTCATGCCCATCTGCCTGCCCACCCCGTCATTCACCAGTCGAGCCCTGGCTGACCAAGAAGCGTACGTCATCGGATGGGGTTCCACAAAATTCGGTAAGTGCCGCGCAGCACTCTCGAACTTCTTGCGCTAAGTTTTCCCCCTAAGAGGGAAAACTTGGCCCTCTAAGAGTTTTCCCTCTAAGAGGGCTTGTTGCGTATAAAAAAGAGCAAAAAAACACAGTGGATTCACGAAGTGGATAATGAATATTGGGTGAAGCAGTGGTATCGTTTGGTGTTGCCGTAAATCGCCCATGCGATTGACCACTCAAGGATGTAAATGAGTGACAAAGTGGTGTACAGTGATGTGCAAGGTTTATTGGTCTTAAATGCTATGTTCAATTGAGTATAGCGAATTTCGTTTTGCCTTCATTAATGCTGCTCTGTGGCATCGGATCTGGCCTGAAGATAGCAAAGACAAGGTCTGGTTACGTTCCACTGGAGGTTGTTGGTTGTTTTCAGTCGTACGAAATGCACCGTAGAGCGTATCAAATATATTGCAAAAGCCGGTCGTTGTCTGTGATCATTATAGTCATTTTAATCAGAGCCATCGTGATCATGGGATACGGCGCAAGCAAACGCCACCAACGGACAAGCCTCTGCTTGAAGGAGCTTCGCTCCTAAATAAACAGCAAAACATTCCCAGCGGCACTTCTCGACACTTGAAACGACGTTGAACAAACATGCTTGAATATTTGAATATAACGCAGACTTAACAGCGTCAAGTATGTGACCGAGTTCAGCAGCTGCATCGTCCGATGCGTGCCTTTACGTGAGTTAGCAGCCTTAGTCATCCCACAGAAGTAGTGTGGACATAAACAATGTTAAAAATTAATGACACCTTTATTTTTTAAAAATGACGTCTCTGGGCTGCAGTTTGGGAATATGAGAGGAGCGCATTGTTAGATGAACAGCGCGAGCTCATTAAGATAACACCAGTTCGCGTTCATCCATTGTGGTAGACGTCAAAGAGTCACTATCGGCCCGAGTTGGTTGACCTCTTCTAGACCGCTCAAAACAAGTCATTTTTATAAGCATAGGTCGCTTTTTGAGCGTCATCGTTACTCTTTAGCACTAGCCTAAGCTTCTTATGTTGTCGCGTGGCAGGTGTGGTCTGTGTGTTCGTCTTCGCGAGAAAGTGGAGCAAACCTAAATGAGGTGGTGTAAATATGCTCGGCATGATTCTTGACAATGTGGGCATATAAAAACGACTCCTCGCTTGAATCGCATTGTGTGCTATTCAATGTACAGCCGTCCACAGCATTAACTGAAACACTCAGATGCGTGGCCTCGGCTCACTTTAACTGAGGTCGGCGCCGCCGAGCGTTGAACATGATATACTTGCTGCAGCCAGCGATAGATGTAGCAAGCGTCGTTTTAAGTGTGAATACACTTTATAAGCGACCCCAAAACATCCACCGCCGTCGGCGGCGTCCGCAGTCTTCTCTCTATCTTTAAAAGAAAGAGTACTTGGTGGGCCGCAGCGCGACTCTCTACCGAATAATCCACGGACGCGACGCTGATATCGGTGTCAGTAACGCGCCTTATACCCCCTCCCTCTTCACTCGCTCCTCCGCTCTCCTCGCTCGCTGCAGCTGCGCGCGCACCCCTCTCTCTCGCGCGCCCGCCTTCTCTCTCAGTCTCCCGTCGAGAGCGAGTCGTGAGGGGGAGTAAAGTTAAAATCCGTTGGCATTCGCCAGTGAGTTAACGTAAACTTCCCCGTGTGATCAAATTGCGATTCCCAGGAACCATTACACCATAAAGGCACCATAATGTGATTAATAAATATAATAGTGCGAATTAATAAATACCCCAGCTAACGATAGATGTAGCACGCGTCGTTTTTACTAGTAAACTTCCGTTTCCAGTCTGCCTGACCGGTGGGTCGAATGCACTAACTTCGCATCGCGTTTTCGCCAAGTTTAGCTCATGGCTGCGTTATCGCGCGGGTTCATGAAGTTCATCGGTGTATGCTCATCTCGACAATGAACCATTGCGTGCGACAGCTTGAGCACCTTACGAGTTTGAATTTGGAGCGAGGAATCACATGTATAAATAGCAGAGCAAACGCGTGTTCATGGCCTTTGTAAAGTTGCACAATAGATAAATGTCAAATGCGGTGGCGTTGTTCATGTTCTGATTTATTAATTTTCATACAACGTCAATTGAACTGTTCTCGCAATCTAGAGTGTGCCTTTCTGTTCAGTTCACACTGGACGGAAAATTTCGTATGGAATGCAATATTTATGCGTGTTCTCCGCAAGAAACACGCACGAATGAAACGAACAAAGAAAGCTATTTTCGTGCGTAGTTGCTGCTTATAAAAGCTCAAACTGCCATCTTATGATCAAATCGTGGTTCTGGTACACTGAACCCCAGATGTTGTTACCGGCACAAATGCTGTGCTGCAAGACCACATCTTCCACGCAGCGCGAACCGAGCAGGAAGGAACACCCTAATTGCGAGAACGGTTCAATTCACGCAGTCGAAAATTATTGAATCAGAACATTAACAACGCCTGGACTGCGTTTCAGATTTATTGTGCAATTGTTACAACGCCTTGAACGTGCGTTTGTCTGCTTTTTATGCATATGATTTTTTTTTAAGCGGATGTGAATTCAAACATGAAAGATGCGTAATCTCCCACACGTAATAGTTCATTGTCGAGATAAGTATAAGACAACGAATGCCTTGTGTGTGCGCGATATTGTAGCCACGAGCACAACGTGGCGAAAACGGGATGCGAAGTGAGTTCATTCGACCAGCTGCTCGGGCAGACTAGAAACAGAAACTTACTAGTCAAACCGACGCGCGCTACATCTATCCTTAACTGCAGCCAGCATATCATTTTCAACGCTTGGTAGCGCTGACCTCAGTCCAAGCGAGCCGAGGCCACGCGTTGGAGTGTTCAAGTTAAACGTGCTGATGGCTGTACAAGCGTTGCCACTTTGTACCCCTGTGAGCGTCTATGTCCATCCCGAGGGCTAGTTTTGGTTACTGACGACGAGGTGAAACGTAATATTCACAAGTTGGGTTATCAATACTTTACCTAATCGGAAGGTTGTGGTGGAGACATGGCTATCATTTGTGAAGTTAGCTTTTTTCTGTCAGTTCACAACGGTTTTCGAGAGAGATCAGGGTGCTGTTGCGACCGGGGTTTCCAGACATCGGAGGTCCGGGATGAAGTTGTCGAGGCAGGAGGAAGAGAGACTTGAAGAGGGTTTATTTACAATATGTACATTGCGAACTCCCTACACGGTGAGCTCTCAAACGTGGCAGGCCTCTACATGTCTCCTAACATAGCGCTACATGGTGCTTGGTTCTACATGGTTCTGCTCGGTTCTGCTCTCGAAAAAAAGCACACCGAATGAGCCGTGGGGGCTCATTATAAAGGGTCTGTCCTCCCCAGATCCCTAGATCGGGGACCGCGTACAGAGGGCACCGTCCAATCACGGACCACACATTACCCGCGAGGGTGACGAGCACGCACGGTCCACGCGAACGTTCAAAACTGAAGCGTGGTCACCGCACGGCCATGTGGCACGAACGCGGCTCCCCCCCCGTCAAGGTGTGTCGCTGGGCGAGGGGTCTGAAGTTGATGACTGCATCCATCGAAAGGGCCGCCGTAAACAAGCTTCAAATGGTGCCGAACGATTCGTTCAATTAGCGGGACGATTCCCGGCCGCCGCCGCCGCCGTCATCTTCCAAAGAAGAAGCGGCACTTGTGGTCTCCCGAACTGCTCACGGTGTCGTGGCGGCAAGACGCCGCACCCTCCAGCCAGGGGGGAACAATACATGGCGGACACAGGCCGCCAACCCGTTTGGCGACTAAAAGGAACATCAAAAGGAACGCCGATCCATTGTCAGACCTGGCGCCGGTCCTAACAGTAGGCAGCCGGTCGTTCGGTTACTTGTTTGAAGATTAAAGGAGCGCCGCTCCCTCTTCCGCTCTGGCGCCGGTCACAACAGCTCGTCCGCCGGCGGGAGAAGCGACCTGAGGGTGACCAGCTGCACAGGTTGCCCGAAGTGTCGCTGTGTAGTGCTGTCTTCCAGGCCACTGCTGATGACGCTCAGCCAAGGACTCTTTCCCTCTCGCTCCTTGTGGCTCCCCTCTGGGAAAAGCATTCATACACACCACCACAGGCACGGGAGAGCACCCTGCCCGCACTGAGACACGTCGAGTCCGACAAATTATCCAAAAGCAACCTTACTTAAGCGGTATTACCAAACACAAAGCAGCAATCGGGACGTTTCTCTGAGGTTTCACCAAAACTCCTAATCCCGATCCGATAATAATCTTCCCATCAAACTGCTTTCAAGAAAACTAACTGTCAAGTGATGCGCTCACCGTGGCATACCCGAGTGCTTGCGTGAGCAATCCGCCGTAACCCACCAGGTATCATACTCATAAAATAAAGCATTTTACTTCACGCTATCTTTTAGTTCCCGAAATTTAGTGCCGCCAAAGCCAGTCGTCAATTCCTTTTGAGAAGACGAAAGCATAACTGCCGTGCTGCACCTGCATTAGGAACATCTTTATTATATATCCGCAAACGCACATCACAGTGCTCCTGCCTGGATGAGATACCACCTAACCGTTCCCTTGCTGTTGCCACTTTCACAAAGCATACATATAAACTCACGAGCTAGCTTTTCTTACACACCGGACACATGCGAACAAAACATTAAATGAACAACAAAAAAAGTTTCGCATGAATCCTGAAAAATCTCGCAAGCAATAACTTTGCGTCTCTACGCTCAGTCATAATTAGTTCATAACGTTGCTCCTGCTCATTTACACGTATCTACCATGACGCAGGCTCCTATGCGTGTCGTTTATGCAATCGCACAACGCTTACCTTAGCTAAACGTACAACGCCCAAGAAATGAACAAAACCAAAATTGTGTTACCTAAACACTATTTGGTAGACGAGATTCTTAAAAAACACATTAAAATCCAAAACAACTTAAACAGTCAAAAGCAAATTTCAAAACAAAATAAATCCACTAATGACCATCGTCAAAAGCTCACGGATGTCTACTCCTTTTTGGGACTAACGCGCGGTGTCGCGTCCTGTGGGTCTTTCTAGGCGAACGGGAAATGGAACAATGGCAAAACCCATTCGCTTCGCCTCCGACCCCCGCAAAGCTCTGCGCTGACAACCTGCGTTCTTACTCTCGCTGAGTACCTCGCACTCCCGCAGTCCATCAAACATGCCGTCGATAGAGCGACGAAAGGGTCTGCCTTTCTACCCAACGTGCTTTTTTTTTTTTTTTTTTCGTTTTGTCCGGCGGCTCGGACGCATACAAACCAACTCCGGTGCCGATGACAAACGCCTAATTCTGTACGCTCTAATGCGTGTCACTATCCTTCCAATAGATCTATACAACGTATATAGGCTACCAAAATGATAGAGCGCTAACGAAAACAAGGTACAAACGAGTTATTTACAAAATCACAAAAACAAACAAAATGTTCCTTTCAACAGTCCCGAGTCGACGTTTTCCGAGAGGCTAACAGCTGTTCGCAACAACTCTGAGTCGAACTCGCGGTGGTCGCGCCCGGAACGATTTTCTCGAGAAACGGGGTCTACAACACGCGTCAATCGCCCTGCTACCGAACCCCGCGACGTTCCTCGAAGCCGACTTGCTGTCGCTTCCTGCCCCTCGAAAACCACCGACTCTTTTGCCCCGCACCCCGTCCAATGCACCGCGAGAACAACGGAAGGGTCTCTTGCCCTTCGACCACTTACGCACACCATGCGCTTCTCTTTTCTTTGTTCTCTGGCCGCTTGGACGCTTGCGATACGGCAACTTTCTTGAAATTTCGCTCCGCCATTTGAATACATTCCTCAAACGCGTCGCGATTTCTGCCTGCCTGTTTTTACGGCGCTTTCTCCGTTTTGCACGTCTCTTGGTGCCGTCTACGGAGCCTTTCGCCCATCTCTGATGCTCACCAGCACCCACATGCTCATCTGATTTTTCGCGCGGACTGTCTGGATAATTGCCTAGCAATCTCTCCTTCAAACACTGCCGCGTACGATGCGCTTTTCTTTTCCGGCGGTTCGGACGCACACGATACAGACCCGTCAGAGATGACAACGGCACTTTTCTCGCGATTTTACCACGCCGTTTGAAACCCTTACTCAAACGCGTTGTGCTCATCTCGAGCTTTGCCTTATTGTTGCCCTTCGGACGCTTTCTCCCCTGTGCACGCTTCTTTGTGCGGACCTGGGAGCCTTTCGTCCTACTCTGACGTTCTTCATCACCGATATGCTCCTCCGCCATCTCGCGCGCCCAGTCCTGATGATTGCCTATCAGTTCATCGTAAGACCGCGGCCGCGTAGATTGCGCACTTCTGTTCCTTACTCTCCGGCCGCTCAGACGCCTGCGATTTAAGCCAGTCAGAGAAGACAACGGGCCTTTTCTCGCAAATCCGCCACGCCGTCTGAAGGTCCTCGTCAAACGCGCCGCGCTGATCGCGAGCCTTGCCGCGCTTCTGTTTTTCGGACGCTTTCTCCGTTTGGCACCTTCCTTGGTGCCAAACCTGGAGCCTTTCGTCCGCCTCTGACGCTCATCAACATGGTCTACAGGGCTGCAAGGTTCGATGGAACACTCTGTTAATCTTAACTTCGTTTCCCCCACCACGGAACCCTCACACCCTGCTGTGACCGCGAGCTCTTTTCCCTCAGAATGGGTTAAAACCTGTTCCATTCCCTTACAGGCACTAGCCTTCTCTTTGGCCTCAAACGGCACCGCCGCTATATCTACAGATATCAGACCCGCAGCACTCTCTTCGGCCCTAAACGGCACCGCTGCTGAAACGCACCGTTCGTGCGGTACATCTGCAAATTTCTGACCTGTAGCCCTCTCTTCGGCCTTAATCGGCACCGCCGCTACGTCGCACCGTTCGTGCACTTCATCTACAGATGTCTGACCTGTAGCCTTCGCTTCGGTCTTAAACGGCACCGCCGCTACATCGCACCGTTCGTGCGCTACATCTACAGATGTCTGACCTGTAGCCTTCGCTTCGGTCTTAAACGGCACCGCCGCTACATCGCACCGTTCGTGCGCTACATCTATGGATTGACCACTCTGCTGCAATGCCACCAATTCACAATTAAGCCTTTCTATCTCTTCATCTAATTCCTGCATCCTTTTTATATGTTCTTCATGCCTGCGCTCAGCTTCCAATTCCTCCTGGCGCCATCTTTCCTTTCTTTGCGCCCTTTGTACTTCCTCCTCCTGGTCCAATAAGTACATATTCCCGAAGTGCTCGATTTCCTCATTGTCACTATTGCTTTCGAGAATCACTTCGCGGAGTTTAGAAGCAGGCATATCATCATTAAAATCTAGCTCCAGATCCCAACACAGGTTCAGCAGGTTCTCTCTCGTCAATCTCGTAAGATCCATGGCGACTACTTTGCTTTGGCTCAGCTGTGACAAAACACAAACCCACCAGCGCTTCAATTCTGGGTCTAGAGAAATTGAAGCCTGGCAAATCTCACAGCGGAGACCACAAGCTTAAGCACCCAAGTAGCACTACGTGGCCAACATCCCTCTCTACTTTTTCTTGTTAATTTTTCACTCCTGCTTTTTACAACATCCTAAAATTTAACCCGCAACGTACCCTTAGAAATTTTGAAACATTACCCCTTGTTCCTATTGAATCATCTAAGCTTTCCTGCTTTAGCGTACTTGCTCAGATAATCATCCAGTGCTGCCCTGTGCTGAGATAACAACCACAGTGGCCAGGCAGTTGTTGGTTATATCTATCTTTTAACGAATTTAGGCTAAAAGACTCGATATATCTCAAGCACAAAGCCAGGCACTCACCCCATTACGTGCGGTGGTGGTACGCTGCTTCGATCCCGCCGAGTTCCAGGGCTTTCGGCTGGCCTCCGGTACATGTCGCTCTCCGTCGCAGACTCGTATCCCACCGCTGCCAACCAGTTGTTGCGACCGGGGTTTCCAGACATCGGAGGTCCGGGATGAAGTTGTCGAGGCAGGAGGAAGAGAGACTTGAAGAGGGTTTATTTACAATATGTACATTGCGAACTCCCTACACGGTGAGCTCTCAAACGTGGCAGGCCTCTACATGTCTCCTAACATAGCGCTACATGGTGCTTGGTTCTACATGGTTCTGCTCGGTTCTGCTCTCGAAAAAAAGCACACCGAATGAGCCGTGGGGGCTCATTATAAAGGGTCTGTCCTCCCCAGATCCCTAGATCGGGGACCGCGTACAGAGGGCACCGTCCAATCACGGACCACACATTACCCGCGAGGGTGACGAGCACGCACGGTCCACGCGAACGTTCAAAACTGAAGCGTGGTCACCGCACGGCCATGTGGCACGAACGCGGCTCCCCCCCCGTCAAGGTGTGTCGCTGGGCGAGGGGTCTGAAGTTGATGACTGCATCCATCGAAAGGGCCGCCGTAAACAAGCTTCAAATGGTGCCGAACGATTCGTTCAATTAGCGGGACGATTCCCGGCCGCCGCCGCCGCCGTCATCTTCCAAAGAAGAAGCGGCACTTGTGGTCTCCCGAACTGCTCACGGTGTCGTGGCGGCAAGACGCCGCACCCTCCAGCCAGGGGGGAACAATACATGGCGGACACAGGCCGCCAACCCGTTTGGCGACTAAAAAGGAACATCAAAAGGAACGCCGATCCATTGTCAGACCTGGCGCCGGTCCTAACAGTAGGCAGCCGGTCGTTCGGTTACTTGTTTGAAGATTAAAGGAGCGCCGCTCCCTCTTCCGCTCTGGCGCCGGTCACAACAGTGCTTGGCTCCTGTGGATGAAGCTCCTCGTCATCAAACTCAACGAATGATTTCTTTGTTGTACATTTCCTATTGAATGGACATGGTTATAACGTAGAATCGAAATTCACTTTTGTCACTGATAACTTAAATTTTCACTAACGATCAACATACCCGCTTGCAGGGGCACAAAGTGGCGCTTATATGCCGAGCAGCAAGGAGTGAAGTTCTAGTAAAAAAATGGAACAAGCGTGATTTTTGTTTTTACACAAGACAAATAAACGCCATGGGCAAGCGCTTGTTGCCGTCACTTTTTTGTTTTGTCCAGTGTGAAAAATTGCGCTGTTTTCATTTCATAATGCAAAACTGACTAGTCCAATACTCATTGTTATCAAGCAGAGACAAATGTTTAATATTGATGGTGGTGAATCTTTCCCGGCTTGAGGACTAGAATTGCTGATTCGTGTCACTTGCACGTGATAATGTGTAATTAGAGTAGATTTGTTGAGCCCGCCAAAGGCGGTGTTAAAACAGACTTTGAATAATTCATCTTCATTTTCGGAAACTGTTGAACACCATCGTTCACGAACAACATAAAAAAAATTGTCTTTAAAATGTGTTATACATGCAACCTGACTCGCAATCTGAGCTGAGAGATGTTCTCTGGCTTTCACAGTGTCCAGTATCAGACGTGCAACCGAAAAAGTGCACCTCAGTAAAGCTGTGACATTAGCCTTGTGATGGTTGAGTTAGCGTGCGAATATGCTGATATATGCGCCTTTTTGTTCTTACTTCACTAACCTTCTGTGATGCCTCACAAGTAGTAACAAGACAGGCCTGTCTGTCGCCAAATATGCACACATACGATTAAGCTTTCTCTCTCTTTCTGTCGTTAAATTTTTGAAAAGTTCCTTGATCTCTCGGCCTCCCATATCAGTCCTTCATCGTCGCTGAAAGGATCGACTGTCGCATTCTTTTATCATTTCGTCATTGCATATCTTGCTGCACAGGTGGGCCCAGCAGCAAGGAACTTCGGGAGGTGTCGCTGCCCATATGGTCGAACTCGGAGTGCAAGAAGGTCTACGACCCTCTCAACTCGCAGCACATCGACCGAGGCATCACGCCGCAACAGCTCTGCGCTGGCCGCAAGGAAGGCGGCGTCGACGCATGCCAGGCGAGTACTCGTGCGCTTTCGACAGCTTACATCCTTTGCTGAAACACTATTGAAAACCGATGATCCAAGTTTAACAGTTGAAAATGATCCAACTAGCTTCTCTCAGGAGCACCGAATTCAGAAAGTCAATTTAGATATACATCAGACAACTGCGTGACACACGTTGCGCGCAACTTCCGTATCGGAGGTGAACCATTTGAGTGGTCCATTCTAGTTACAGCATCTGAGAGGGGATGAAATTTTCTTCAAAAAGGCTTAGTGGAAACTCTGATATCATGCTGGCTATATACAGCGAAATGCTGCAAGCACGAAAATTTTTGCAGCTGGAATGACGGACGTCGTGCTACATTGTTGCCTCACATTCATGTGGTGCAAATTATTGCATTACATATTTAAATATTCACAATTAGTATTCTTGATCCATTAAAAATTTTCATTGACTTTCCATTGAAAATTTGCGCGCCACTTTTTCTGTGGTTCATGTATTGTCCTTGTTTCGTCATCCTCAACGCAACAAACAATTGTGAACCACCATACACCCACTAGCCCCATTCATCACTCTGCAATCTTGAACACTAAGGGTGTGCTTAGAAATTTTGAAAAACAAGGTGGAATAAGTGACACCAAATAAACGTTTGAAGTCACGTTTGCGTAAAGGTATACACAAAGGCGTGAAAAAAGTATTTTAACAATGCTAGCGGGTGACTGGAGCCAGGGATTTGCCTAACCGTTTTGCTGGGGCACTTTCGATCCTTGATAACCGTGAGAATGGACCAGCGTAAGACTCGCAAAAACGCCGAGCAGCCAAAAAAAAAAAAAAACGCAGAGCCTATACTCTTCTAGTGGCTGCAGCTTTCTTTATAATGACCCAGTGAAACACGATGATGAAAAGTTCTATTTTCCTGTGTACCCGTAGGGCGATTCCGGCGGACCCCTCATGGTGCTGGACAGCAACAAAAGGTGGACCCTGGTGGGCATCGTCTCGTTCGGCCACTCGTGCGCAAGTCCAAACTTCCCAGGAGTGTACACGCGAACGGACTCCTACCTCGACTGGATAAGACAGAACGTCAACTTCACAGCGTGACCTACCGCTGTCATCGAATGTTAGGATCTTGATAATTTGTTTCTTCAGAAAAACTTTTGCATCGAAGTGGATGCTCCCTCACTCTTACTTTTCTTTTGACGCCGAGAACTCTGCGCTGGTCGCACAAGGACTTGTGGACAGTCAAAGCGGGATGTGGTAAATGGACACGAAATTCTCCGATGAAGCTGCCGTACGTTCGCACTCTCTTTCAAAGCTATCAGACATATACCATAAAGAGCGAAAGTTTGGACCAGTTTTGGTGAGATGGCGGTAAAGCGTTCCTGCTTTTCCAGCACAGGTACACTATAAGCACTCAAAAATATCTAGCCTTTCGATTCATCTTCCCAATAGACCTTTATGACCAGTCTACTCTGACATTTCATATAATCATATACTTAAGCCCCGCCGTTGTTAAAAGAAACCACGGTTAATTTTACTTTGGCAATTGTTTTCTGAGTCAAATCGCCAACAAAATACTGCAGGTTCACCAGTACTGTAGGTTCCAGTGGGACCATGTAGTTGCAATCTCTACTACTTCGGAGTTACTTATGTATAGGGCGGACTGTTTTCCCAGAAGTGACGAGGTGATTTAAAATGTAAAACATCTCGTTCAGAGTTTGATTGATATGTGGGGTGTAACATCCCCAAACCATCATATGAATATGAGAGGCGCTCTGGCTCAGAGTTTCATATGCTCAATGAAAACAAAGGGTTTTTTTATTGAGTGATACATCTGTGTTCGCCAGATATATGTGATCCAATAACTGTATATGTATAGCAGTGCTGTGCATCTGGTCTGGTTGTAGCGTATGATTCGGGTGCTCCTGGAAGTTTGAAATTTTTCAGCTTCAAGGAGCTGTACTGTACTTACAGTATGAATTCATGTGAGTGAGATATAACACGAAATGACAAGCATTTCTTATTGTTTTTTAGTTTACGAAATCATGCTTAGAACAAGTGTCGTGGGGTATAGAAGAGTGCTCAAGATCTTGTGAATTTCAGCACATATACAAAAGAAAGACGCGTAAATATGACGGGTGTTTCTTTTTGTGTGTTCGTTCCGTTGCGCTTGCTAAGATGCAGAGAGACAGAGATAAATAGAGAAGAAAGGCAGGGAGGTTAACCAAGCTTGGCTCGGTTGGCTACCCTACACTTGGGGTGGGGGAAAGGTAGAATAATAGAAAGGAAAGAGATAGAAAAGGAGTAAGGAAGAGAAGGATGAATAGTCAGCTCGAGACTACACAGCGCTGTCTCACACTGTTCTTTCACAAGTGGTGTGAATTATGGTGGTCCTTAAGAAGTACAACAGGGCTTTCGTGGCTCTGCACGTATGGTAAACCGTCAGCCAAGGTCCCAGGATTTGCTCTTTTGTAAGCGGCCGTGAATCCAGCTGGACAGAGCTTGGCTTCCATAATACGCCAGTTCAGACTTGTATGCTGGGCAATGGCATAGGATGTGCTCGAGCGTTTCCTCGCAGGCGCAGATGTTGTATGCCGAACTGCTCGCCATTTCAAAGAGACGAGAGTACGCATTCGTAAATGCCACGCTCAACCTCATGCGACACAGTTAAGTTTCAGCGCACCGTGGGAGCCCGGATGGCAAACAAAGTTGCAAGTTTGGGTTGATCGAATACAGGTGCGTGTCGGAAAAACCCGGCGTATTCCATTGTAGGAGAGTGATACAATGAGCAAGTGATTGTAGTAGCCTTGCAGCGTCCGTTCTCAAGAGTGGTATGGGCGTACGCAGGCGTTGGTCATGAACCGATCGAGCAGTTTTATCCGCGCGGCCATTGCCGACAATTCGCAATGACTCGGCAACCACTGAAATACAATATCATGACCTTCCTTGAGCGCTTTGTGGTAGTCGTGCCTTATCTGATATACTGATTGTTCGTGTAATCCGTGCTGCATAGCAAACCGTAGTGTCTGTAAGGCTGACCTCGAGTCGCAAAAGATGGCCCATTGGTTAGGTTGCTGCCGAAGAATGTAATTCACTGCACCTTGAAGCGCTGCGAGCTCTGCTGCGGTCGACGTCGTGGTGTGAGAGAACTTGTATCGAAGCAAGACATTATCACATGGAACAACCACTGCTCCTGTAGAGCTGTTGGAATTAGTGGAGCCATCGGTGTAAACATGTATGCGGTCGAAGTACCTTTTGTCGAACAGTCGCAAAGTCAATTGCTTCAGGGCTAACGGTGATATGCGTGCCTTCTTAACGTTTTCAGGAACTGATAAGCCCACGTCAGGTTGACGGAGACTCCATGATGCAGCTGCTGGATGCATCGCAAGTTTGAAGCTAGGCGGTAATATGTCCTGATGTTTTGTCACAGTACCGCAGAACGAAGAATGGGCCCTCTACGCCGTGAAACACGCTTAATGATGTGATGGTAGCCGTGATAAATGCCGAATGTGCGCTCTTATCGTCTCGACAATGATATGCGTTGTGACCGGCTGTTCTTTTGCGATAGCAATAGTTGCCGCTGTCGATGAGCATCTTGGAAGGTCAAGACATGTCTGAAGTGCTTGGGCTTGTACGCTCTGTAGTGTACAGATGTTAGTCTCGCACGTGTTCGACAGTACAGGAAGGCTGTACCGGAAAATTCCGAGAAAGAGGGCAGTATAAAGCTGCAACATGGAGTGCACGGATGGGCCCCATGATTTTCCGGCGACGAAATTAAGTACACCCTCCATGCCAATGAGATGCATGCGTTGTACACTCGCCAACTAGCCCAAATTTCCGCGGTGAATACTCAAGATCGTTCTCATTTCTAACAGCTTCATCTACAGCTGCGCTTTGAACACGTAACAAAACTCTCATCAACAGGATGTAGAGCTTTGAGGTTAAATTCATTGAAACAATAATTTTATTACTCTATTGAATTTGAGATCTTTGAATTAAGCAACAGCGAATAAATGGGCATTTCACATTTTATAATAATTAACATGCCTTCCGTTTATTGTACATACACTGTTGGTTTCATACACAAAAATAAACTTTGCCTCAAGGTGTAAACGACGTTGATTTTCGGTAATAGAAGCAGCCCGGTGAGCCAGGCATTTCTTCCATGTGATAGTGTTAATAAAACAACATTGACGATGTCAACTTTTCATCGCTTTAATTATGTAGTTACGCTTCTTGGCTGATGTGTCTCGTCTACTGTGTCTTTACTGCGTCGTTGATATGTCGCTTGATGTGTTTTGTATTTTATGTTCTTTTTGTCGACAGTACTAAGACAGTTTTGAGTTGTTCTGTGATGTGATTCTTCGCTGTTGTGCGTGTTCCTGTAAATGATATTTAGAGTGTTATGTGTTCTATTTAATATTACTTTTGACGCCCTTTACGTGTTTTGTATGGCATATTTTACTGCTCCTGTTTTAGTAAGCACAAAATCTGAAAACCTTCATGTTATGCAATATAATGCGGGTATGTCGCCTTTTAGCACAGTCAGATCGGCTACAGCTGGCGGAAACTCGCGAAGAATGAACTGGTGAGATCACGAAACACTGTAATACTTCGGCTGTTTTGAAATTGTGATCTTTTATGCCGTGAAAAAAAAAAACTTATTCTGTTGCTTGAACCAAGTCGCTTACGCAACAGTGGTACTAAATCACTTCATATGCAATAAAAAGAACAGCAATTGGTAAAGAAACCTTTCTTAGCAAAATCTCCAAGGAGATGGATTGTACTTACTTCTACGTTGAATAAACATTTCACCGAGTGCCATTTTTTTTTCTATCACGTTCTTTACACTGTCAACGCAAAGCGCGTCACTTTTTTCACATTTTTTTTTAACAACTCTTCTAGTAGGATTTTCACAAGGTGAAAAATAGCGTTGCATGCTACGATGGAGATGTAAGCAGCAGTGTGGAAATGCGATCAAAATAAGATGAAGAGAAAACAGAATTAAACACACGACAGCGCGAGGTCTAACAACATACGCGTGTGCGTATAGCTAGGCTGAGTATTAATAAATAAATGAGAAATTCGCTCCTAATGTGGGCTTCATGTCATGTATAATTGGGTCCCCACGTGCAACCAATCTAATTACGCATGCTTACACTGCAGAAGCCACTCAAAGCGCAAGTACAAGCTGCATTAACGAACTTCGCCAAGCTAGTTTGTGCGTGACTGACAATCAAACAGTACCGAAAATTCGAAAGACAAAGCAGTGGACTATACGACGCGCTTATTACATGTGATGCGTCCTGTCAACACTGATACAAGCCCTCAGATCATACAATGAATGCGAACAATTGTCGGCAAGATGTCACGGCGATTTTCCAAGCGACCACCTGGGAACACTTGGAAAGGTCACAGGCCACAGGCTGTTTCAACGAGAGCTAAACGCGTCTGGTGAAGGCTTGCTGAACTCTTGCAAAGGTTACTAAACATCATGCGGTGCTGTTGATTTCTCTTCATTGTACCTAGTATAAGCTAGAGGATGTCATGCAATTGATTGTGAAACATATAACTTTCGCATACAATACGAGCGGAGAAAAAACAAATCTGGCATTTTTATTGTTGAACAAGAGCAAGAAACGAGCTACATACCACCATGGTCATTGTTTTTTTTTGCCATACTTCTCCTGTATAGTTGTGGTTAGTTACGCAAAATGTGAAGTCTGCAAGGATGTACAACCTACAACCTTCTGTGTTGTAAGCAGTTAACTGTGCACAGTAGAAATTCAGAGCTAGTGCAGCGTAAAATCACATCACGTAGGTCACACTTTGCTTCGTGATGAGCGAGATTTACTTCGTAAAGGTAAGTTTTCAATAGAAGCACGAGTCAATTGTCAGTCACTATTGATGTGCAATCCACTTTATGCATTAAACAGATTGCGCGAAACGCGCACAAACACATAATCACGGGCGGTCACGTTCGAATACGAAGAAAACGCATTTGTCACGTTTGACTAAACAAACGCCATGCAAATTACAGATTCATCGCCGAAGCAGAGCGTTATTCAAACGAGAGTCCAAAAGAGCATATATGTGCATGACCTTCTGAAAAGTGCCTCTCCAACCAGCCAATAAGAACGTCCAGTTAAAACAAGAATATGTATAACAAGAGTATGTTAACAAGAATATTATAACATGTATAACAGAACATTAAGAATAATATAACTATGTATAACAAGAATATTAAGGCGTCGCTCATGCATGGTTTTTAAGCTACAGTGACGCAGATGGTCGCCTTACCACGTCCGTTCACTTAATTTCGCGCCTAAGATGTTAGATACTATCACGATAATATCTTAGGATAGCGTAGTATGATGTTGTTTAAAAGGTATAAATTTAATATAGAAGCGACCTCAAGGTGCCATGGACGGGGTTGCTTCGAATCCCTCAAAGGCTTGCCAGGCTGTCCATTCGTGTATAGTTGTGTTAGCAAGGTATATCAAAGAGCGGTTTTGCTTCTAAGCGTGCGTTGTTACGAGTTCTACGGCATTAATAAAGTGCTTAGCTACGAGACAAGAATTATCGGGTTCACACATATCAATATTCGTTCTATTGGGGCTTTGTCGATCATCGAGTCAAAGTCCCATATTGCGCGTGTCGCTTTTCTTGGAGCGTCGACTCACAGCTGTCGATGAGAGGGTGTGTGTGTGTATAACACTGCGACGACACGTGCATCGACAAACAGCAGTCGTGTCATGCACCTCCTCATCTCTGCAAGGCATGCACTTATCGTTGTATCATTTACTCGAGGTCGTGTCCACAAGACGGCGCTGAAAGCGCCGGAGAGGTTGGCAGGGGGGGGGGGGGGGGGGCCAAGCTCTACTACGCAGTGCATATTTACCGTTCTAATTTTCCACCCGTATTATATTTGGAATGCGTTTGTAGCTCTTCATGGCTGCTTTGGTTTTTCACGGTATCGTTGTATTCGCATCGTGTGGAGATAGACCCGGAGGTTCAGAGCTCCTGCCATCTTTGTAAGGTGACGACCTCCCAGAAAAAAAGCACAGCCCGTACAACACAACACGTGACATCCATGGGTAGAGCCTGTCGTATTGTCAACGAGCCTCCTCCAACAGGCTGCAACGAAGCAGCCTTGTTAGCAACGGCACTACTTCTTACACTACGTGAGTATGCGAACCAAGTTTTTTTTTTTTTTTAGGACTATGGTCTTTCTTGTGGGCCTTCGAAGGAAAAATTTTGGTCTGTCTGCCTGTACATTTGTCTGTTTGTCTGCCCTTAACGATACCTCAAACGGCCGACCGACCCCATCAGCAGCGCCCACCAATAGTGCTCAAGATTCCACGTGAATACTTGTGCGAATGTCAATTAAAAAGCAATCATTGCGCATATCTGAGGTACCATAACAACCCGCTGACGTTTTGTATGGGCGGCTTTATTTTTTCGCCGATGTACAGGGTCGACCTCATATAAGGTGCACGCCTTATTACTATTGAAGCCGCTGAAACAGAAATGATTATTATACTTCACTAAGAAAATGTACCTTATATGACACTAAGTCATGGTGTCGCTAAACACAATTATAAATTTCAGAAGTGTGCGTTAAACATCAGCTTCTGTGATGGCTTATGTACTGATGAGGTGTTCCTCTTTAATGCGCGCGACCATGTGACTTCAACTCAGCGCTACTTCTCATGTACCTGAAAGCGCAATAGAATCGTATTAATAATTGCAGTATATGGTTCAATAATAACCGGAGTGTACTGTATGTATTGAAGTATAGTGACTATGCAACGTGGTATTAAACGTGAGTGGGTGTGCGCAAGGTAATATGTGTTTAGTTTTAAAAGAAATCTGAGCAATTTCCTATTGTTTTAAATTTTAGCACGATAGAAATAATACGAAGAAATGCAGTTCGATTAGGCCACGTAACTTTTAGTACTGTCCTTTCAAACTTTCCTTGGGTGCTTATCTAAGTGCATGTTCGGCAAAAGCAGTAAAAATGTGTTATACTCGTATTTTTTGCTCAAACTATTGTCAACTATGTCCTCATCATAGAGACCATTGAAGCAATGCAGACAACAATTTTTACTTGGCTTTTGTGGGCCCAAAGCCACAGCTGTGTTACGATAAACGTCGTGATTCAAGATTTACGATGAATGTTCATAACCTGCAGTAACATGGTGTTCTCAGATCCGTCAACTTACACGGACGCCATTGTCTCTGGTTGTCATACTTTTGAATGCTGGCCGTCGTGGCAGACATTCGCACTCGCGATTTCAGCCTCTAAAAATGAATGCCACAAAGATTTAAGTCCTTATTCCTTAACGTGGTAGCGTGGAAAAGCTTCTTTCGCAGAGATTCCGTTGTCGGCGTTGGCGTCGGCATCATTCATTAGTGTGAGCAAAAATTAGCTTTGTACGTGAGCGAAAATTTGAGGTAGGTGCCAATAAGGAGAGTACAGAAAAGACAGCAGTTCAGGTGAGGATCTAACCAGGGACTTCTGTGCAGAAAGCCAGTCTTCGACTACAGATCAGTGCACGTACTAGAAAGTGCTTACAAAAAAAAAACACTATATGAATGTTGCGCAGCGCAGTGCGAGGAGTCACATTAACATATGTAATATTGCTTGGCTGGAGCGTATAATCCCTACATTAGGCGTCAGAACATGCAATTTCAATTACACAACGAGCGCTTTCTTTAAAAGATCACCGATCACAAAGCGCATCAGGCACAATTTTATCACCATCGATAATAGCATCAACAACGTGTGCAGCTTCCCAGGGGTGCGTGTTTCCATACGAACGCACATACATGTAAAAGAAAGAATCATGTCGTTTCTAATTTCTACAATTCCACATATTCCATCTTGCGATAGGCATTATAGGTTATAGTATAGAAAGGCCGATTGCGGGCGCATAAACGTTCCTGTTCTTGTGGCGCGGTTTAGCTGTACTGGTGATTGAAAGGGGATGCGAGAATGTGCTCTGAGGTAGATCGCTTTCTACTCTTGACGTTGAATCTCAAACGTCCTCCAACTTCACTCTTCGGGCATCGGATTCAGTGTCATGGACAATTCGCGATTACCAGTCTCTCAGCCATTATCTCAATTGTGGTAAACGTGAAAAATCTCAGAGAAGCTGAGCGCTGCCCATAACAATGTTTAGCAACAGCGTACAACTCGGTGTCCCTGAGCTGTGGGGCTGAGACGATGCCAATTCAACAGTAACGGATATGCACCAGACTACCGGCCATTTGTGTTTGTGTGCGTGTATGTGCGTGATACTGACAACGATCGTGCCGAATGCGTTCGTGTGGCCATTATGTAATAAAGTGCTCTCACTCGTCTGCCATCAACTCCTCAGATAATAAGCACCTTGCATTTATGAAACTGAAGTCTGTGCATTCAGCTACCTGCATTATGCGGAATTTCAATAAAAAGTGAGCGCCGATATTTCAGTAAATGCGAGAACAAGATACTCAGGCATGCCATTGAAAAATGGGGCACTGGTGGGGTCACAATTTTAAACTATTCAAGATACCTATATTCGAAGTATTCTTTCTGTCTCTAGGCGGTCCTAAATGCTGGAAACGTGGGACTATGAAATAAAGGGTCTGATAAGTGACCAATTTTAGAACAAAAATTTGTACACGTAAATGCCTGCTGAATTCAATAAAAGTACATCAATCCTGTTTCTAAAAAGCGTTTACCGACCTAATATTTGCAATCGCAATATCCCCAACTTCAGATCTAGATCTCTTTGAAACGTTTGTCCGGTTTCTTAAACACAGATAACACGTCGCAATGATCGCTGCGTCTGCAGGCACCATCGCTTGATTTTGTCCTGTCCGGTCACGTGCTGGGAAAAGTCAATCATTTCCCTTGATTTGATATGTCAGGTTTAACGTCTCAAAAACACCATATGATTGTGAGAGACGCCGTAGTGTAGGACTCCGTAAAGTTCGACCACCTGAGGTTCTTTATTGTGCACCCAAATCTGAGCACACGGGCCTACAACATTTCCGCCTCCGTCGAAAATGCAACCGCCGCAGCCGGGATTCGATCCCGCGACCTGCGGGTCAGCAGCCGAGTACCTTAGCCACTAGACCACTACGGCGGGGCAATCATTTCACTTGTCTACGATAAATGAAGAGGCACAGCTTGCCATTAGTTTTCTTTTCTTTTTAACAGGGGAAACGTTGTAGGGATAAACCTGGCAGCTGATGAATGTACTGCGTTAGTCGCGCTCCAGCTTGCAGACAGATCCACAGATGGCTTAATTGCTTTTACTTGCGGAGCACCCAAGTGCAGGCAGTTAAAAGAAAGAATGAGAGAGAAGAGGAACGCATGATAATCACAGCTGTGCTGTGCCTGCAAATTTCAGACAGGGAGAAACTGAGACAAGCAGTGTGAAGCGCCTTACGGTCTCGACTTGTCAGTATGTAATGTTACCACGGCGGGTCACGTAGCTGTTGTTTATCATAAAACAAGCGTAAGTCCTATTACTCGCCACTGGTTCACTGAAGTGAAGAAGGCAACAGTTGGAGGCCAACAAATGCGAGCTGAAGTTAGGGAAGCTAAAGCACATTTTCCTACATGCCGTAGGAAACTGAAACAGGGGAAGTAGGTAAAAAGAAGAAGAGCTTTGGGGTAAGCTTAACTTCGAGCCAGTTTTTCGACGATGTCAGTGGAGCGCGGGATCACTTTCCCCTTATGGATCTTCGTTTTCAGACTAGCCGCCATTAGTGCCTCGTCATGAAAATATGTCTCCAAAGACTATGCTTCGAGTCCCAAACTAGGTTTCACGTTAGCAGAGTGTCAACACCCATTACCACATGTTGTTTTTTCAGCTGCACGAGCAATTAACGCAGCATTCTTTCTCTTCCGAGAAGTTTATCTATCGGGATAACTAATCCCTGACGGGTTCATTAACTGCGAGTAATGTTAATGAAAATAACTGAATCAGGCATGTTTAGGAGATAATTCTTTTCTTGCGAGCGATTAGGATCGTTGGGCACTTGTTAGAGAACATTTCAACCAAGCGGTTTTTTTTTTCTACGAAGCCTCCGAGATCCACTTAGGCAGTGCGAAGAAACACAAGTAAAAAAAATTGCCCGCAGCTTCCCTCGGGGGAACACTGAGGAGGATGCGGAGCGTATAATTGGTTAACGGGGTGTTAAAGTGCGACTTACTTGGGTCGATGGCTAAATTGGTTAACGTGGTTGTGAAATGGGGTGTTAAATTGCGACTTACTTGGGTCGCTGGCTAAATTGGTTAACGTGGTTGTAGGAGGGGTGTTAAATGAGTGAACACGTACGACACGTATGCGAAAGGGCGGTGTTTATTTATCGTTTCAAAGCGGCCGAATCCGGTGCTGCTGCTCGACGCTGACGTCTCTCAGCGGCTTCACGTTCTCTAAGTTGAGAATCTTCCGCTCGACGCCGACGTTTACGTTCGGCGTCGCGAGCTCTTCTCCGCGCTGCCTTGTCTTCGGACGACGACTTGGTTGCGGTTCCGCCAACACTTTGGCCGGCGCTGGTCGAAGGGACGTCGATCATTGTGACCTCGGACGTCGACGCGCCGTACAAACCAACCGACGAGCGGCAACTGAGCGAGCGAGTGCCGACCTTGAGTATATATACAGCGCGACGGCGCATGCACTGTCAGCTGTCGAATGTTCGAGAAGGGGGAGAAGCGCAACGGCGCATGCGCGCGCGTCAGCTGCCGATGTTCTCGAAGCGCGACGGCGCATGCGCGCGCGTCAACTGCCGATGTTCTCGAAGCGTGACGGCGCATGCGCGCTACATTATACAGCTAGCGAATGTTCGTGAAGAGGAGAAGCGCACGCGGTGTGTAGAGGAGGAAGGGTGCACAGATGGTGGAGGAGTGAAGCGCGCGCGGTGTGTAGAGGAGGAAGGGATGCACAGGTGGTGGAAGAAGGAGGAGGAAGCTTGCGGACGGCGCCGCACTACAAGCCTCGAGTATTAGATGCTCCGCATCTAAAAAAAGTAAAACACTGTCCCCGTATCTGCATGTTTCACTGCAAATGTCGTCGAAAGACGAGTCTTGCGTCTGGAGAGAGTGAACAAAACGTTAATTTGATGTTTTAAGCAATAAAATCAGTGAATTGTATTCTGGAGGCGCTGCGTTAGAGATTCTCGATCCCTGCATCGAAGGCGAACGAGCGCATCGAGGCAAGTTAGACCCGTGCGCTATCTGGCAGTTATCTTCGAAAATAAAAGAAGGCGCGAGTGCCTGTCTTGGAGGCGATAAGGTGTAAAACGCAAAGCGACGGACAGGTGCCACCACAGCGTCGTCTTAGCAAAGCGGTGGAAAACACTTGCCTTTTTGAGCGTCGTGTTGCATTGTCAGCGCAGCGTGGATAAACGCTACGGTCCTTAGAATTACTTACATGTGTATGGCTTCTCTAGTATAAAGACACACATACAAAATATTGAAGTGTTGTTATGGTGCCCCGGATATGCGTAATAATTGATTTTTAATTGACAATCGCACAAGTATGAACGCTCAAACTTGAACAATATTGGAGGGGTATAGTTACGGCGTACAAACAGACAAATGTACAGAAAGACAGACCAAATTTTTTTTTGCGTCGAAGTACCCCAGGAAAGACTGTCGTCTTTAATACACAAGGGCAGGTGAACGCCGAAATGCCCGCGACGCCTAAGGCCTGATCCCACATATGTGTTGCAGCGAGTTAGCGAATGGCTTTGTGACGTGGCGCCGAACCGTCTCCCTATAGAGAAAGATGGCACGCAGCCCTCTCTCTCTCTCTTCATGGGGAGAGGGCGTGGCACCACGTCAGAAAGCCATGTGAAGTGGTAAAACGCGCACGTATGGCCAGGCCTTCCATCAGTGATTAGTGTCACCTCCATGTTGTTGTCGTTCTACGATAAATAACTTGCTTCTTTTCTTTTTTTTTTCAAGCAAGCGTTCCCATTTGTATAATGACCTGAGGTCCCATCATATCAAATGTGTTATGCTTTATTTTCATAGATCAACCACTCTTTCAATTCATCCTTATGTGCTTCCATGACCTAATGTTGGTTTGCTTACTTGGCCTGCTTCTATACCTCAATAAGGTATTGTGAGATAGTAGTAGAAGAAAATTATAAGCCTTTCGGATATCATCAAAAAAAGCGAAATGCCCAGAGCTAATAACATATGAGTGAGTATCGTACAGTTACAGACTATACTCTGCTTGAAGAGGATTCGGAAGAATCTGACGAAGAAAGCTGGGAAAACAACAGGCAAAATGTACGTATGTCATCATTGTCATGCAAACGCTTTTTAAGATATTTGCATGAAAAGTTAGTCGGTTGGTCGGTCGGTTAGTTACGCATTTGGGAACTCTAGCTATATAGTTCTATTTTCCTGCTCTAAGAAAAAATCGTTGTAGGTAAATGACATTTGAACGTATATAAACGTAAACTTTTCTTCCACTAATTGCGTCATATAGCCCGTGCGAATGCGTTAACGATAACTGATATGAATGTGGTGTATGTTTTTGTGAAAGGCGCTATTCACAGGTGCCTCAAGTAAGCGCACTTTATCGTTTGATTCGTTATGCGATCATTAAATCGGTATAGGCAAAAACGTATTGATTAAACAAATGAATCACTAATTGACCCTCCCAAAATATCGATTGCATGCAGGGTTATGATGGTCGGAAGATTGGGCAGCCTGGTCGCCCACCAGCACCAGAGGCGCGTGCACCGATTGCGACAATTGAGGAAATTGACTGCTTCGATGGCGACATCCAACAGTCAGCAAGCGAAGAATCATCAGGCAAATGCAACCACCTATTCACATATTCGATCAAACAGTTTTAAAACTATCGTTTCTAGAGAACTCCGAAATTGCACTTCCCAGCTGTCTTTTAATTGGCATTGGTACACTGGTGTCGGCAAAAAGTTTTCGGGGGAAGGGGGGGGGTGCCCATAATAATTTTAAATGCGAAGCATTTCTTAGCGAAAATCGGTGACTTGAGCGTATCTATCTATCTAGCCGTCTACGACTTTTAGCTCTCCTGGCCGTTTCGATAATAGAGAGTTTTAGTACTGCGGAATGGTGCTACGTACGCATCACGCAAGCGCCTTGCGTTACGTGGCGTCGTTTGTCACTAATCGGCTTTTAGTACGCCGTAGTACCCGCGTACGCAACGAGCGTGAAGCGTGTTGCGTCATCTGGTAGATCAAAATAGAAGTACGTGTTCTTGAGAGCCAATGTGAGCCAATCCAATTGTTATAGCCAGATTATGGCCATATTTTAAGCCACAGAGCCGGTCGGTGCTTGGCTTCAATGCCGCCATCTTGCAAAACGAAGTCTCGCGCTGTCGCGAACTTGTTCGAGAGCGGCGCGATCGCCTCATACGTACGTACGCACGCATCTCATGCGTGCGTACGTAGCGGCGGCGTACGTAATGCAATACGTGCGCATTGTGGTCTGCACATGCACACTAGGCAGAACGTGGCGTCCTTACGTACGCAACGCCGCCACGTACGCAGCGTACGCAGTACTAAAACTCTCTAATGGTATCGATGCCAAACGTGGTATGGCATAACATGACTGCACAGAGAACATATATCACTAGTCATAACATGAAAATCATGACATGCATGTCATGAATGTCATAATTTACATTTCATGGTCCTGCAGCTCTTGCAGTGGTTTCGTTCACATGGCATGTTGCAAAACTAGTATGGTATGACATGATTTCGTGCCGAACACAAGCGACAGACCCTAACATGAAAATCATGATATGCGTGTCATGCAACAACATGATTACATGCCACGCTCATAAGGAGCTGGTGGCCGTTTCGCTAGCTCGACTTATACCAACATTGGTATTACGAGACGTGAATGGAAGACGAAGGTATGATACTGGTGCACACACAATAAACATGAGATGCGTGTTATGTAACAACATGACTACATGCCACGCTCATGATGCGCTCGCGGCCGTTTCGCTAGCTTCACATGTACCATACTCGGTATTACGCTATACGCGAACAGACGAAATAGGTAAATGACACATACAAACATGATAATCACGACATGTGTGCCATGTAGCAACATGACTACATGCCACCCACATGATGCGCTCGCGGCCGTTTCGCTGGCTTCCCATATGCCAAATTTGGTATTACGTGACGTCAATGGATGACCAAGGTATGTGACTGGTGCAAACATGATAATCGTGAGATGCGTGTCATGTAGGAACATGACTACATGCCACAGTCAAGGCACCAATTTTGACGTGACGCGGTGCGAGTGCTCGCCGGCGTTCATTTCCTCGCGTCACGCCGGCGTTGCCACGCAAGGCGCCGATCCTGCCATATACTCGCAGGCGCGCGCTGCGCTGCGTTGCTTTGACGCATGCGCGCTTCAGCGCGTCCAGCGTCTCTCCGTCTCGAAAAGAGGGAGACGCGGTGTTGTCTGGATAACGCATCGGTATATAGTAATGTCACTCTATGGCATCGGTGCGAAATGCAGCCTGTCTCGTGAAAAGAAACTCCCACAGATGCTCGTGCCGGCAAAGCGCGTTTTGCTACACGAAGTCGGCATTAACCATGTGACTGCAGCTGGCTAACGACAAGACACTGCTGGCCAAGTTCCGCCCGCACAATTGTGCCGGCTGCCGGGCGATTATCCGCTCCCGGGAAGGATACACAATAATAATATTCGTCACAAAAGTGTGAGAAATGCATGCGTCCTACGCCCACGATGCTCTCGCTAATTCGACTGAAGTGCACGTCTAACGTTGGTTCGGGATCCTTTCACGGCTCGTCCGAACTGCTCGCTTGCACGGAACGAACGAAGCGGAACAAGCACTCAGAAAAAAATTACGGCATATTCACGGGGTGAATGATGATGAATGGACGAAGCTCCGGAGGGATTCATCGGTAAACTGTGAATCTTCCGTGTAATTCGCCCAGTCGATCATCCTGTAAAGACGTGAGAAACGCTGTGTGTGTATATACACAAATCGACTTTTATTTGTTCTTAGACGATGGATGGCTTGCGATGTCCCTTGTCTCGCGCGCTCGCACATCGGGATTCTGTCTGCGAGCGCGCGCTGCTGCCGCCTTGCGCTCTCTCCGCTGTGCAGCCTTATCCATCCGGCGACTCCGAGCGCGCGCCAACAGCGAACGGATTTTATTACGACGCTCCCCCTAGCGTACGTCGCCGCACTAAATCGAACGATTGCCTTCAACCAATGACACGCGCCATATGTGACATCATTCCTATTTTATAAGATCTCGCGTCTTTCATCAACTACAAGTACCGCTTTCTAGTTTATAACATCTTGCATCTTTTCATCATCAGCTACAAGTACCACCATCTAGTAAACACTACAAGAACTAAACGAGAGGTGGCTACATAGAGGAGACGGTACCGCCATCTAGTGAACACTGCAAGAAATAAACTAGAGGTGGCTACATACAGGCTACAGGGGACGCACAGCCCACGCCCTAAGGAGCTTCGCCCCTAAAACGCAACGAGACCACGATCAGAATAGCAGGCGGCGACACCGAGCAGCGTGCGGATCAGCTGGGCGCTCCGTGAAGCGGCCAAACTGCCGCTCTCCCACTAAAAACTGACGAGAACCAAACAAGAACATGTCGGCAAGTCTCGTTTACCGCGTAATCTCACGGCAAATGGGCCGACTTTGATGGCTTCAAAAAAGGTTGGCCTGCCAAGGCTGGGTGCATGAGATCATGCCCCCTTCTTTGTTTTTCTTTCCTCCATGTACACGAATGAATGTGAAACGCTGGCACATTAGCCACGCATCTCGTTGCAATTCACAGATGGAAATGGAATAGATACATTTCCTTATTGCGTCTCATTACTTATCTGAAGTTTTATTCATATACTCAAGCAACAAATTACATAAGATACACATGTTGCCTTAAATAATTTTCACCATGTCACGTGCTACTGCTGTCAACGTCAGAGCACAGTCGTCTACGTAGAGGACAACGTCACAGGACTGCCAGGTACGTAGAGCAGTTCATACGCGTACGTCATGCCTTCATTCTCTGGGCGTGCGTCCTCGAGAGGAAGGGAGAGCAGCTTTCATCTTGAATTATGACCCATTTTGCGCAGCGCGTGGAGTTACAAATTTTGAAAGATGTGATCGTGAACGCCCTATGCACGCATCGCGCTTGTCAGCTCAAATTGTCAAAGCTGATGAGTGGCCCTTTAAAGGGAACCTGCCACACTTTTTCAGTACAGGTTTTAACATTGCCGAAAGGTAATCGAGGCTCAGGAAAACACGCGAGTAGATAGCGCAGCATGGAGCCTCAAATACATAATTTATTCTCAAGTGAAGGTGTGAATCGTCCCCTCTTCTTTCTCATCATGATGTGATATACCCATGTAACCACGCAATATACCGAACTTCAAGGCCTTCTGCCGATTTTAGCACTGTGAGCTGCGTAGCTAACGCGGCCGCCATGGGAGGTCGCCACATGCCCAACCCCACGTTCTTGATAACACTGAGAGTTGGCCACGCGTATGAAGAAAAAAAAAGGCGTCCAAGCACTTGACGTAACTTTATTCCCCAGTGCCAATCCTCCTCACTTAGCTACCAGAGTACATGTTGGGATCAGAGAAGAGAGAAATCAATTAGAGCGTGCGACAGATATTCATAACTTTACACGTACTTCACGGATTAAAAAAAATTTCGCGTGTCATTAACTCGTTTCATAAAACCATTGCAGGGCCCCTTCAGGGCCCCTTCAGGACCCTGCGTTCCTGAAGGACCCTGTGTTCCTGAAGGGGCCCGTCTACGCACTTTTAATATAATATTTTACAGCGACAGCTGTTATGAGATCACAACTCGAACCACGCGCAGTTGTGCGCTGCCGCTGCCTCCGCCAGTGTCCGTAACCACATCGCGCGAAATTAGAAATAAAACTTAGCACCAATAACACAGTGGGGCTCGAGCCCAGCTCCGATGGGTGCCAGCCCAGCATTCTACCACTGAGTGCTACGCCGGTGCTTGGGACTTGTTGTCAAACTTGCTTTAGACAGTCTTGATGTCGGAAAAGCAATCGCGTTAGTACCTCTTATAAAGCGTTTTGAAACAGTGAAAGACCAACCAGTCGTCGCACTATGCGGATAGCATAACGAGTGGGTCGTCCAATGCCCCAACCCACTACAAAAGTTTTTCTTGCTCCCCTATTAACTGTGGCGCATACCCTCTCTAGCGATAATTTTTCATCGTCGTCAGCCACTGCACAAACAATTGGCACAAAATTCCTTGCAAGTGTTTAGCGGACACCATGTTTCTCAAAATAATTACGAAAAATAGCATAGAGAATGCCGGCCTACTGCCCCAAAAAATTTAATAATGTCCTAGTGGGTATCAAGCAAGTGTGCTTGCAGTATAGTTACCCAATGAGTGGTCTGAAAAGGCCCTGAAAGGCCGCTCTGCCGTGATAACTTCCGATTACGTCCACCGACGTGCCTGAATAGCATAGGTGGGCAAGAAGAGCGTTACAATAAGGCCCGCTGATTTTCTGCACAGTGATTCGATCAATTGGCAAAATATATTCCAATAAATGTTTTTGAGCTACATAAAAACTGTAAGAAATTGCCTCGACTATTACGCAGGTTCCTTTTATCTCAAAAGCTAATAAAATACTTTAATTACCCTTGAAATAACATGAAAACATCGTTTCAGTTTCGACGTTACGAGCTCGTAAATTAGGTCACCGGAAGTCTTTTTTTTTTGACACAACGCTTGCAATCTTAAAACCATCTACAGCTTCCGCTCTGACTGTGCTGCGCCTTCCGCGCAGCCCTGGCGTTTTTTATGACTGTCTTTTAAAGTTTTTGACAGCAATTAGGTCGCGAGCAGTTGTTACCTGATTCATCAAGGTCAAGCTGCACCTGTGTGTTTTGGTTGTTTACCGCGGCGTGCATGTTTTCCACTTTGCCTCGCACGACAGGTGACCCATCAAGTGCCACATCACGGCAGCACTTGCTGTCGCTTCAGCGGCGACAACAACGGGGACAACCGCACTGTTCCTCCGAACAACGCACTACCTCGCTCGGATCCGGGCCAGCAGCGAGACGCGGCAAGAAGAAACGCCGCAGCAGCTCAACGACACAGAGGCTAGAGCTTCTCTAGTGATGCGGCAATGCGAGAGCTACTCCCATGTCTCCATGACCTATAGAGCGTACAGTGTTTGAAATAATCAGTAGCTGTGGGCGACTACAGCTTCGAGATTGTAGAGTACCAATACAGAAGTCTACTGGTATGGTACTGGAGGCCTACTGCAAAAATAACTTCTCTTTCCTTTTTCTTGCCACTCCTTGCCTTTCAAGATTAGAAAAATAAAGTTTTGTGTCTCGCTCTGGTGATGACGAGACCTACGAATCGACCACGAATAAGAACGAATAAATTTCTTTTCGGGTCACTAGTTCGATTGCTATTGTTTGTGATTACTTTTAAGCTCATCCAGAACGTTATGGAGAGTGGTACAGCGAGGGGCAGGAACGTTGATAGCATGCTGGAGTATAATGTTTTTCTGACATAGACTACTCTATCTGAAGGGTGATACGCAATATGTGCAGTGATCGGAAACACAAAACAAATAGCAAAAGTGCACCTAACTGGTCTGGTCGGTACATAGCTAATACGGGAATAAACAGCGCTGTACACGAAACGGTGAAAACGCCATTGCTATCGTCAGCGTCATCTTCTGTCGTTCTTTGACTGTCCTTAGTCCAGCGCTGTTTGTCCCCGTCAAAAAGAAATAGCACATATAGTAAGAAACATGCTTACTAGGCTGTGGGTTGGGCTACTTGGTATCACTGATTTGTAATTTTGTTTCCGCGCCAAATGTAAGGGGACAGGGACAAGGACATTATATTTCACGTTTCGCCTGTCTGTGTTTTTAAGGTGTCCGCTTAGCTCTATAGTGCGGAAACGAAGTTATCGATCAAAGGCGTATATGCCCGGTGGGCTTCAATCGCGTTGAGCAACACTCCCTCCTGTATTTTTCCTTCCTCCATGGTCGTGTTCCCTCGGTTTGCGCATCAAGCAGTCTGTCCAGGAAAAGAAATTATTAACGGGATAGCGCTAAAGACCTCGTGTTGTAGAAAACCTTCCGTCGGTGACGGCCCCGTTGGTTGTGAGCTAAAAATCGTCTGTGCGTCTGTGACCGAAAAATCAAGTTACCGACATAGCCGCGGGAGGCCGCTACTTGTCCCCGCGTTCGCGCGCGATCACACTGAAAAACTGGCGCATTCGAAGAAAAAAAATAGTGCTCAAGGTCACGAGGCACGGTAGTTTCATTGCCCTGCTGCCCCTCCCTGCTTAACTTCCAGTGCTTGCGTCGGAACGAGAGAAGAGATAATGCAATTGCGGCATGCGACAAACCTTTGTAACTCCACTCGCACTGGACGGAGGCAATAAGCTCTTCCAGTGAATTTATTTCATGGTTACTTGAAAAAGTGTTTCAGGGCCCCTTTAACGCATTTCGTTCGACAGGTGTCACGAAGAAAATAAGCCAGCCCACTCGGCAATAACAGCGCGTGCTGGTCCAATCTACTGGGAGTGTTTGTGTGCGCACGTGTGTATGTAACTAAACATATGAATAAGCATGCACTTAGCGGTTGAAAGGTGCACTAGGGACCAGATATCGCTACCACGTTTAACTCTTAAAGGCGAAGCTTAAGGGTCCCTGAATTTTTGGTCCGGCGCGTTCACAGTGTTGCAAAACCATCCCGCAGAAACAGGCAGTAGACCACGAAATAATGCTGGTCAACAAAACGACGCCATTCGCGTGCTCGGGTGTGGGACTTGTTCGGGCACTTCATGCGCACGTGGCCTCTTGGCAACACCACCTAGAGGGAGTTCTTGCTCTTTGTCGCATGCCAGAGAGGGTAGGGAAGAGACTTAGTTTCCGAATGCTACGTGGGGCAGCAAGGACTTAGAGCTCGCCTTCTCTCATCCTTGTTTCGCGCTGCTTAAAGAGAGCAAAAAAAAGCTGTTTTCTCAGCTCGTAATAAACCGAATGAAAAATTTTTTGTGGTATAATGCTCCTTATCGGACACACAACTTCCATGGTCTAACTAAAATTTGATATGGGGCCTCGTGAGTGGCCCTTTAAGGTCCTCCTCTGATGATGAACTTTGCACGTACAGCTCATTGGAATAGAGAAGGGCGGACTCACATGGCAGTAGAAAATTATTATTTCGATTTAGTCACTGGTCAGTTGCTTTTTTTATTATTATTCTTCACATATAGAAAGATGCAACTCCCCGCCGCGGTAGTCTATAGTGGCTAAAGTACTTGGCTGCTGACCCCCAGGTCACGGGATCGAATCCCGGCTGCGGCGGCTGCATTTTCGATGGAGGCAAAAATGCGGTAGGCTTGTGTGCTAAGGTTTGGTATTGAGAACGACCAAAGACGCCACCCTGCTCATGCTAATATTATGGCTCACATCATAGCATAAACATATGTGATGGGATTCTTACGCACGTGGTCACGGTCATGCAGTCAGCGTCCGTTCTAACTCATTTCGACGACGATGCTGACACGGAGGAGCATACTGACGCTGTAACATAGATCTCGGTGCAGTGCTCGTTCAGCATTTAGATGACATCAGAAGAGCCATAGCCTACATCATCCGCTTCCTTTTCGGTGTCGAGGCGAGTTATTCTACTACAGCGAAAGAGCGCATCGCAGTCGTGTGGGCAATCACCAAGTTTCGCCCGAACCTTTATGGTCGTCTTTTCAAGATAGTGACGGACCACCACGCCCTCTCTTGGTTGGCAAGCCTGCGCAACCCTCCAAGATGACTAACAAGGTGGAACTTGCAGCTGCGGGAATTTGACGTCACCATCGTTCATAAGTTCGGCTGTATGCATGAAGACGCTGACACACTGTCACGCACACCCCTTCATCGCGTCAATCAGGAAGCAGAACACGATGAAGGGTTTCAGGGCGCCATTAGTTCGCCAGACTTGAGTGGCAGCGAGATCACTCAGACATTCGTCCAAACATCGATCACTTGAAAGGCCAGGACGCAATCATCCCAAGTCAATTATCCCGCTCGTTGACATCGTTATGCCTGCGAAACAATGTGCTGTACAAGAACGCCCGTTAGAACGACCGTGATTTCCTCCTGGTGGACAAACATGCGATATATTCTGTTCCTCGAGACCTGCGATATGACATCCTCTTCGCTTGCCATGACGAACCCACATCAGGTCAGCTGGACTACTCATGGACACTTGCCAGAGTGAGCGAGAAGTACTATTGACCTGGACTTTCGGAAAGCGTCAAGGAGTACGTAAAGGCCAGTCAGGAATGTCAGTGCCGAAGAGAACCATCTGCTAAGCCAACTGGTTTTGTTCAGCCCATCGAAGCACAAGGTCTTTTTTTTCCTTCAATGCAAGAGCCACTCTTGGACCCGCTGCAGTGGTATAGTCGCTAAGGTACTCGGCTGCTGACCTAGAGGTCGCGGGATCGAATACAGGCTGTGGCGGCTGCATTTCTGATGGAGGCGGAAATGTTGTATGCCAATATGCTCAGATTTCGGTGAACGCTAAAGAACCTCAGGTTGTCGAAATACCTGGAGCCCTCCACTACGGCGTGTCTCATATTAATATGGTGGTTTTGGGACGTTGAGCCCCACATATCAATCAAGAGTCACTCTTGCCTCTGGCCCACTACGTGCGGGTGGTAATATGCTGGTATCAAATTCATTGCTTCGCTTTTTTAGTCAAACAGTGATGTTTTTTAAATGGCCAGGCTTTTGAACTGAGAAATCTACAATTAGCTGTCAGATTTTCCTCGTTTGTACTGTTTTAAAATCAACAAAACCTGCAAGTCCCAATCTTGTACCGAAGTTATACCAAGGATTTCACTCGGCGTGCTAGCGAATGCTTCAAAAAAGCCACAATCGCTGTTATCATGGCTCTCTCCGCAACAGATCACATCTAGCCGTTAATATGCATTCTTTTATATTGTGGCCAAATCGACAACGTTTCATGCACTGCAATGACTTTGGGGAATGTGCTCTCTCTCTCTCTCTCTCTCTCTCTCTCTCTCTCTCTATATATATATATATATATATATATATATATATATATATATATATATATATATATATATATATATATATATATATATATATATATATATATATATATACTTTGTAGATTAGTGGTCATGTCTTAATTTCTTTCAGTCTGACTCTTCCTAAAAAGGTTACCATTAACCGATTTGGTAGGTGATTTCCTGTCATAAGACGTTCGAGTGCACCTGCAGTCTAAACGTTCGTCAGGTGCAGCAAATAAGTCCAGAATTTTCGGATGTGCCAGACTCATATCTGCCCCATGAACTATGCTCTTCGTACATGCAAAATCGCCTGGGATAAACGGGCTCATTACATGTGCAGTGAATTCAGAAAATTTTAGAAGCTCTCTAACGCAATACTGAGTTGCAGAGCAATACAGAATATAACCGCGGTCCTATTGGCCGACCACAGTGATTACGAAGCTCCACTTGAGTTGCCTTCAGAATATTCACTGGAATGAAAACCCATTGGTTGGAACTAGAGCCGCAGGAACGTAGTTGTTTCCACTGCGTTTGAAGGAATCAAGCGACCAATCTTTGGCCGGCATAAATTCTTGCCAAGGGGAGTGCCTTTGACCAAGTGATGACCAAGACATCGGAATCGTATGACTTCCCTGGGCTCCAAAACGCCGCCACAACCGGTTAAAGAAACCCCCCACCAAAAAAACCCAAAAATCTGAAAAGCAAACAAAACCCTTAGCTAATAGAGATAATGCCCTTCGATCCACCGGGAGCCACCGCGAGTTTGGATCTTCATGCGGAAGATCACAGGAATCGGTACGGCATTCGCGCCCAAATAATCGTCGCCATGATCGAACGTACTATATTTCTTTGCTTTCACTGGTGGGCTCCATTTATTATATTTTCAACACCGGGAGCTACACTTTCTCGATGCTTGCTCCTCCGCTCAGAGTGAGGACATCTGCGTCGTCTGCTACGGCGTCCGCCATTATCGCTCCCGCTGTACACCGGTATCGCTTTGGCTGGAAGTGGCTTACTAGCCTAACCCGAACAGTTGTTGCACTGAGGAACGTAACATCCAAGCATACCTGGCCGAAGAAAGCGGCACGTGAGCCCTACAACTGGGCGAAACGCTGCAGGCAATACGATGGCGGTAAAAACAGTACAAAAGGTAGCAGCACCAAGGGCACGCGCATCGAGGCACTCAGCCGGGGCCGCATAACACTGCCCCGCGGACCACACGTTGTGGAAGCTTGCCATAAATTATGTTTTGTGAGGTGAGGGAGTACCAAAAACAGTACGTGCACCTCGTGGCTCTACAATTTATTGGTGTTGTGGCTGATTGTCTACATGCGGAATAATTATAGCTGAA